GAAAGCCCTTATGCAGCAACATGAGGTGCATCACACACTAGCTCCTTTCTATTCCCGTATCGAGCTTCAATATGTCGCTATTGCCTATGAAGAAGCCCGCTCATCAACAGAACTTGATGCATGGCTTGATCCCTCTTTTGCACCACCCCGTCTCACCCGCGATAACATCGCAGAAACTCTTCTGGATTATAAGCACTTTCCCCCCTTCGTATCATCGTCCCCAGATCCACCACCCCTGCGTACCATGGTACGCCTTTCCTTCATGACAGACACAATAAAGGACTTCCTGAATCAGAAAGACACCCTTTTAAAAAACAAGGTATCTGCACGAAGCCGGAGACGGTTTTTGCTCATCGTGCAAGCTTGGGTCGCTGTTCACAAAAGCCGAGACACTCTAAAGCCATACTTTAGTGGCTTTAAGATATGGCCAAGTGAAGGAGATGCGGATCTTGTCCTGCGCCTGATTTCTCGAAGGATTTTTGGATCCATGCACGCCGAGGCTCGCAATAAGGCAATGGTTGAGGAGAGATTTGAAACCTTGTCATATACGAGAAGTGGGAAATGGATGGTGACAGTTGAACTGAATGTAAATCAAGGGCTGTATTACAAGCCTATCCAGTCATAATGTTCTCCTTTGCCCTTCCCTACTTTCGCCCCCGCACATCCCCTCTCCTGTTCCCCCGTTTGTTCATGTGGAGTATGACTATGTTTATATTTGTTGCACTTTGTTTATATCGATCACATGAAACGTTGTTCGAAGTCACCATATTGTCTCGAACGGGCAGAATACAAACAGGATTGGTCTATTGATTGCCGTTCCTATCTGCTTGTAGATTGATAAGGTCTCTGGATTGCCCAGATTAACTTAGTTCCTGGCTAGTGAAGCAGCTTCGTTAAACAACGAAAGCGCCTTCACCTGCTCAATTTAACTCAGTTTCTCGCCAACGACAACGGTCTTGTTCCCAAATGTACGTCAAGAGAATGCAACGAAGACGGAGATATTGACCGCTATTTCTGCCCACTCATAGATCGCCAGAGCTTTGGACTGCCTGCCTAATAATATTGCGCCTGGACGAGAATCATTTTGCGACCCAACGAGAGCGATTTCGCTTCATCCACCACACGTTCACTGCCTGTTATTTGATTTATCTTCGCTTTATCTGCCCACACATTCATATTGATTGCCTTGGCTTCGTGCTCGCTGCCCTTCTGATGGCATCGTCGAATTCTGGCCTTAAACTCATACTGCGAAGGGGCCAAACTTCAGCCTCTGATCCTGCTCCACCGGTTCGTCGATCCGCCCGCGTGCGCGCCAAAGCTACTGGCCGCAAGAGAGGGTCGAAGAAGACAAACACCTCAAATCGTCGTACTGCCATAGCGGGTGCTGCAGGGTGTGATGTCGTCGTAGGCAAAGATATTGATGGCACCAACCAAACTTCGACCACCCAGCTTTCGTCTACGCTTTCGTCTATTACCGTCCCTCCAGCTGACGGTGGTGATGTCCAACCTGGTACCAGCAATGAAATCCAACTCTCTGCCAGTGCTGTGACGACAGTGTCGTTGGACGCTGTTGTACAACCCACACCGACCTTGACACTTCCTGGCAGAGCGCAGCCATCCTCCCGCACTGCAGCAGCCGCATGCAGCGATGGAAGTATCATGCACTCACCTGCCGCGGTACCCCATGGCATCAATGTCGCTATGTCGTCGTCCCCCAGTCACAGCAGTGGCAGTGGCACTCTGCCGTCTGAAATTTCTGCCAACTGTCCCACTCCACCATCGTCTGCCCAGAGTGGGGCCGGTGATGTTACAAAGGATACCCATTGCGACGTCCATACATCTCTGCCTCCCAACGGCGACATGGTAGCCTGCGGCATCAATGATGAGACTCTGTCGTCCCCCACCCGCAGTACAATCGACGTGCCAGCCACATATACCGGCAATCCCTCCGAGACTCTCAATCTCGTCAGTGATTTGAACCCCTCTGACAAGGGCGATCTTCATGCCTTGAGTGAGCATGACGAAGCGGATTTGGGAACCATCGGCATAGATGATGATTTCAGTGCGAAGCTAAAAGGTGGTCGACTCAACAAATCGGAAAAGGCGGAGCTTGAAGGGATTACCCAGGGCTTCCTGAGGGAGATTGATGCATTTGCGAAGTCCAAAAATCGGACATTCGATTCCATCCTCGCTCTTGTCAATCTCATCCTTACGCAGAAGCAGCATCGAAGCCGCGGGAATGTGTGGAATGCTTTCCAAGCTTCCTACCTTGATTCGCACCCAAATCCGGATCCCGACAGTATCTCTGCTGCTGAATATACGAGGACAGTAGTCAGGCCTGCTTACCAAGCCCTTGTTGAGAGCCACGGTGGCGAAGATTCATCGGAATGGACAAAATACTCCCGTAACCTTGTGTTTCGACATGAGGAAAGCAAGCTCCAGTTCACGGACGGACTCACTGGTAGTGCCGGTCAAGTTCAAAAACGAGTCATGAAAACTTGGTCGAAGCGACTTGTTGAGGAAGTCAATGCTGCCACAGCGGTTGGTTTGCATTGTGCCATCATCCTGGTTTCTGGCAGCAGCGAGCCCATGCCCCATCAGCTGGACAAAATCTATTGTGGTACTCCGACGTTGACGAACTACCTGAAAGGCATCATGCCTGACTTCAAGGTTGCCCTTCATCAAATCGCTATGAATGTTAATGCCATGATTGGCCGCGGTGGCGCTCGTGCCCCGAACGGGAAGAACCACCAACCTCCTGAACCCACGAAAAAGCAAGACTATCGATCGGTGTGCTCAGACTATCTTATGCAAATGATGAAACGGAGGTCTCTCTATGCCGAGAATTGCAGGCGCATTGACTGGAAGAAACTTCCTCAAAAATTTCAGTCAGCAGACGTTGCTCTCATTAACTGGCCAGATAGCTTAGACTGGAAATCGCTGTTCTGGGACCAGGATGTCAGTAATGTTGGCACAGCACAGTGGCGGGTCATTTGGAATGCATTTTTCCATGAAAATGCCGATGTCAGGCCCACTCTTCGAGCGTTCAACCGCAGCGAGTACGGCGACGACGACGGGATTATCATCAGCACTACAGGCCGTGTCCTGATTTCTTTCAAAGAAGCGAAGGACCCATCTTTAGGCAAACGAGAGGATGCAAGTGACAATGACAGTCATGGTCATGTCGAGGACTCCACCCCACCTCCTAACCCTCGCCGACGCGCTGCCGGGAAACAGCCTGCCCTGATGAAGAAACGGGCCAGGCTGGCAACACCCAGCACTCCGACAACCCCCCCCAATCCCATCTCTGTCGATATGGACTGGCAGCCGCCCACTGGGTCGGTAGGCCCACATCATTACCAAGTAATGGGGCAGTCACTTCCAGGTCCTGCGCTGCAAGGGAATTCAGCTGCAGGAGGGGTACATCCATATCTCGGTCCTTCTGGGGTGGTGCCCTTTGTTAGCCACGGAATGGGATTTAATAATGGCTGGTCTCCGTTTGCACACCATGGGTATGATTCTACTTGCATGATGCCGTCTGTGTCTCATACCCAAGGTGCTACTTTCATGACGCCGTCTGTGTCCAATCCCCAAGATGCCACCTTCATAATGCCATCCCCGTCCAATCCCCAAGGTGTGCTAGTCTCAGGTCTTGATTTCTCTGCGGAAGTTCATAATCCCTCACAAGGCTCCTGATCCGCATACCCTTTATCATATCCCGTTCACTCTTTCCTCTTCGAAATTTCGACTTTTTAACCTTCGAGATAAATTCCGTTAGCTGCTGTCTATCACGTAGCACCAAATACTCTACACTTTCACGGTTGCGCGTGCACCGATTGTCATATATTGCGCATTACTTCTATTCATGTATATACGTTTGCGTACCATAGCCAATAATAATGTGATTTAGACAACGCTGACGATGCGGAGGACGATCTCCATGAGTATGTGGACGGTTAGGGCATCCCTCAGGTAGTATAAAACATTCTATGGCATTGCTGAACGTTCTATACAGTCAGAGAACGTTCTAAATGTTCGTGATGAACGTTTTACATGTTCAAATCAATACAAAAGAGAAAGTTCAACGAGCCTTAGAACGTTCATATGCATTTAGGCCTGTTAGGCCGGAGATCGAAAGTTCAATTTGGGTACCTAACGAGGCCTTCTACCTGGGTGTCCGTGGTGGGCTGCCGTTATGTTTTCAGGGACTGCTTTTTTGATTACCTCCCCTCAGACCGGCCCATGTCGTTTTGTGTCATCTAGTTGTGGCAAACGGGGATCAATATGCCCAAGAGAAAGAGTATACTCCGATACCGCATCTCTGCGTTCCAGCGCTGATATACCATCCTCAAGATATTGCAGATATAACCCTGACCTTGCCTCTGCGACATCTCTGATGACTGTCGGTCGCGTGAATCAATCCAACATTGAAATCGACGATTTGCGAACGTTGCACAAAAGTATGGTCACTCCATTATATATTCCCTCCACCGATATCCCCTTGGACGGTTATCGTTCTGTCAACCACACATCTCTCAACCATCGATCCCTGAGTAGGATGGGTTACCGATATCGGCGAGAATGATTTGCCCTCATCTCTGTTCATCGAAGTGGGTGTCAAATCATATGTCATCGATTCAAAGGATTGGAAGGCGGGATAGTTGGATGGTGGTATGTCGCCGATCACTCCCTGTTCGAGTCAAAATTGCTCACAGAATACACATTCCCTTAGCATGTGTTTACCCAACACCAATTGTAACTCGAACCAGCCGCCATCAGGCTATGTATTACCGGTCAAACGGTTTCAATGATGGGAAAAGGAGGGACGTAAGGGGACAATGACCGACTTTTCCTCAGCTTGTAGTAAAAGTACGTAGGTGGGGGGGTGGACAGGCCAGACGGTGGTCTTTTCGGTCCCCCTTCCACTATTTTATAGGATATGTCATCAATTCCTTCCTATGCCATAATGGCTTAGCATAATTGATATATTTATAAAGATAGGAATGAGCAACGTTTGAGTTTTTGTTCTAAGAGATCCTGGGTGAGATGATATGATACTAGGCAGGTTACCAACCTCTATTGAATGATGCTATATTGTCGGGGGGAGTGCAGAGTAGTTGTTGAAAGGCACAGAAAAGATAGGGAGGGTTGCGCGCGTTGCACGAAATCCTTGCTACCATCTGGCAATTGGGAAGATCGAAAACGATCGTCGCGATAATCAACACTCCTCATACTACTGGATCTCGATCTCGACGAAAGCAATGTTGAGGACGTGACGAATTGATGGATATGACGAGTGACTGTGGCAATCCGGTGCTCTTCAATGGTATTAAGATGATTGTAAGGTGGAAAGAACGGGCGCTGCCAATGTTGCGGGGGATGGGGGCAGGGAGGCGAAGGATGATCAACTCAGTCCCACCGTGACAGAAGCAGACAATCGGATTCCTCAACTTCTGTACAACGGAAGCGTTTCGGCCGGACTTCTTAACCATACTGGTGTCGGACTCGGACTCCTTACCGTTTGACTAGCTGGAGCGGTCCATCCTGACATGGACATCGAGCTGGATTCGGGTGCGAGGTACGATCGGCCCTCCCAGGACGCCGCATAAGGTGGATTATTGTTAAACACTGGGGAAGGTGGGACACCAGCTCCGACAATGATATCGTCGGCATGACCAGCATGCCCCAGTACGGACACGGGGGGTTGGGGGTCGAATTTAGAGGAGAACGGAGCCACTCCTGCTTTTGAACGATATTTCAATAATTTCGGTTAGTCTCATCAGTCGGTCGGTGTCAAGGTGAAACTCGTACTATTTGTTGCTGTTCTCTCCCTGTGAGTCTGAGATGGCGTTCTTTTCTGGGATCGGCGGTATAATACGTATGCTGCAATGACGGCCAACGAAACGGCAAAGAGTCCGCCTATCACACTTCCCGCAATGGTTCCTGCGTTGGTAATGGAAGGTCGCGCTGTCGAACGAGTTCCCGGTGGCGGCGGAGGTTGGGCATGAGGTGGAGGTGGACCAGGCTGGCCGGGTTCCGCAGGCGCAGCCCAAACCTCTGCATAGTCAATAGAAAGGATATTTGGATCGCTAGGACTAGTGGCCTCATTGGAAACGATAATGTTGGTTGAAGGTGATGATCCGTCGTTTAGCCCTTCAAAAAGGCACAGCATTTGTTGATTCGTTGGGTTAGCGTACATCCCTCCATTCCCAATGATTGTTCGGGGCCCTTCACTCCGCGTCTTGTTCACGACGCACTTGTATGGCCCATGGCCTGGCCCGAGTTTTCCGTAAATTGCAACTAAATCTGCGGTGGATGGGACGATGAGAGAGGTCAGAGCGTTGGGCTTTTGGGCTGATGTTAGCGTGGTATTGTACGCCTCCGGTTCTGGATATCCAATGGTCCACGAAGTTGGCTCAGGGAAGTACCGGAATGCAGAGGTGGCATCGGTATTATTAGAGTAGGTCGTATCATCGATAAGCAGTTGAGTTGAACCATTCGTTATAGATGTTTCCCAGATGATGAAGTCGATGTCAAAATATCCTGGCCCCGGGGAATTGAGAATCGTCAATGTATGATTCTCAGAGGGAAGGTCTGATTGCCCAAAGAGGAGGGCTTGGAAGGCACCCTTTGGGTCATGACCATCATAAATGCTCATCCCCCCATCTAATGACACGGTATAATTCCCATGGTTGTCACGTCTGGCACCGTAAACCCATATCCCAGTTCCAAAGAAGTCAAAGGTCGCACTTGCCCCTGGTGTAGAGGATGTCACAGCAGTCCCATTTCTATAGAAATTGGCGGAAGGATCGTCGGCTGCGTATACAAGTCTCCAGCCCGCCGTGGAATATTGTATGAGAGAATTTGGAGCATCTATCGTGAAGTTTCGTCTCATGCTGCACGTTCAAATAGAGGGGATCTTGAGAAGTTGTACTGGTGATAGGTAGTTATGTGACTTAGTACTATGGGCAGTGAATATTGGGCGCGTGCGCGCGTCGATACGGCGGGGTTGGTTGTGTCTGGCCGGGCCATCACTTGATGCATGTAACAATGGTAGTACATGCTGAAGCTACAGCCACATTGCATTCTGTTGGGAAATACTATGCCATCGGTGCACCCGGACCGGCTACGCTTACCAACCTCTATTTACCGGGAATAGAGGTCAGATTTTGTTATTTATTTATTCCGAAGACCTCAACACCGAGCATCGGCAATTGGGGGTTACATTCAACCGGTGGCGTCCTGGCCTGCGGAAGAGGCCAAGTCTAGGGTTGGATCTCCAGGGTTGGCCACAGCGGTGCCACGACCCCAATGACCCCTTTGTATAATGCCTTTTCTTAGCTCGATGCTCTCAGAACCATTGAAGCGCGCTAATTAGGATTGCATCAACTTAGGTAATTGAATTACCAAAAATGACTCGGCCCATCTGCGCCATCTCGCGCGAATTCCAGGATACAACTCCTAGTTCAGAAGAAGGAAACAACGCGGATCTTGGGAACGTCAAGACAAAAGAACGACGGTTGCCACATATATTGGCGATGGACTCATCCGGTGCATATTATTTGCGCGTTTGGGCTCTGAATTCACTGGCGCAAAATGGTTGCCTTGGGGCGCGCAAGGTACCAACATCTGAATGTAGATGATGGAATCCGCGCGCGACCATTATATATGGTGGAGAACCCATCAGTTGCTGATGGCCTGACCTCCGTTTCACACTGCATGGTCGTGACTGGTGTAACATCAATCTAATGACACTGGTCTGGGCATGGCAGTACTTGTTCTAGCCGCACAATCGGACTGCATGGGAACTAAGGCTAAGGTGTTTGCCTCCACTGAGATGTATAAAAAACAACAGACGCAAGCCCAACGCGCGATTTGCAAATATTTCCACCCTATCAAAAACACGTTCCTACTTTGTTGCGAAGACTGGAGATGGGGTCATGGGAATGCTGATGAGAACGAACGGGAAATAGGCTCAAGAGTCTGCGCATCCTGTTCTGTCAAGCGGACCCGCCCAAGGTTCGATCGACCATGTACTTCAGCGGTCTCATCTTGTGTATTCTTGGATGGGGCCACAGGCTTCTTTGGTCGATAGCAAGTATGGAATGAATTTATTTGCTGGGGATTTGAAGGGGTAAGTAAGGATGATCGAAGGGATAACTAAGTAATCAAGACGAGTCAGCACTTCAAGCGCAATTAACAGGCGCCACCTTAGAGCGGCGCGACGTGCAAGTGTGTGCACTTGAGCATCTACCTGCACTGTCGACAACCCACAAGTTGGGGGATCCACTATCGCTGGTATATAATTCCGATGCCATCGCATCAACTCGAGCGAGATGACCGAGTCCTTGGCAATGACGGCCTCTCGCCGCCCTCGTTTTCTTGGTACCACGTGTAAAGTCAGTTAATTTTCCCCACATCAGTCTCGGCAATATTGTTTTTCCCGACTCTCGATCAATAAGTCTCTTTCCGCCATCGCACCAGCTGGCTACTATGTAACTCATGACTAGTCTCATACGGTCGGCGCAATGAAAGCCTGACTACCTCGTCATTCATCGCTGGTTTGAATATTTTTCTCCGTGTTTGCTTGATCGATCACAGTACGAATACTTTGTTGATCAGGCGTTAATTGCTGTTATCAGTGTGTGCATCTGTCCTTCGTTTCGGATTCAATGCGAGCACACTCGCAACCGGTCGAGTCGCTGCCAATGCTAATGTCCGTCTAGTACCACACCACCGTATCACGGATAGTTGCATAGTGCCACTGCAGATGTGATAATACATTGGCATCACTTCGAATTCATTCATTCTTGAAGATGTAGGAAAGAAGCTGTTCGATCAAAAAATACCGTTAAAGAAGATTTCCGTCCAGTGAAAGAGACTCGTAAGGGGGAAAAGATCCTGACGTGGGGGGAAGATGATCTACTTTTGCAGAAGCTGGGATCCTGCTAGGAAGATGGCGGGGGAATCACCTAGGAGAGTGAACCGGAGAGATCCGTGGCGATTGGCCAGACCGATTTCGTCTGGTTCCCATGGAGTATCCAAGAACACTTCGCTATCTCTTGCGCCTGTGGTGATGGTCTTTCCTGATTCCCTAGCTTACTGCTATGAGAATCCACTGCTCTTCTTCGTTCATCGTCGGGGGGTATTGCTTCACCTTCCTGAAAGCACGCTAGGTACCACTTCGCTTGGACACCAGGCCACAAACTCGGGGCACTCTACCGCTATTAGTGCTGCTAACTTTGACTAAGCTCGCCAATTTGAGGTACACCTCTCATTCATGAAACCCCCACTAACTCCATTGATTTCGGACTCTTACCAGTTTGGTCCGTAAGGTCAATGTATTGCGCAAGGATTCGCGCGCGTCCTGCTCATCGGCGTGGTCTGCTGACGCGATCTTCGATTGGCCTTATATAGCCCCTGATGGTCTCCCCTCGAAGCAAGTTTACGAACACTGTTACATCGGGGTCAAGATGCGGTTGGTCAACCTCAGCAGCGAGCTTGACGTTGCGAAAGGTGCTCTTGATGCCGTTTTTTATACACTCAATGTGCAGTCCGATGGATCGGATGGATTTGAGTGCCGGCGCCGAGATTCACACTATATCCAATCGCTCCCAAGATATTTGGAACAGTTACTCAGCATCGAAAGGATTCTCTCTTCTGTCAAGTTCAAGCTGTCATATGAACGAGATTTCGTTCATTCCCCATCAGTCGCCTTCCTCCCGAAATTTTGGCATCCATATTCGTTGAGCTTCATAATAGTGCCGCCGTCTCCCAGGACGGCGACCCAACGCGAGATATCTCCCGGCTTCTGACCGTATCCAAGCTATGGCGCGACGTTGCTCTGGGAGAGAGCAGACTATGGACCGTCGTTCACGTCGAATGGCCGGTCGAAAGACAGGACCTTTGGCTTCAACGTTCCTGGAATCGCCCCCTCACCATAGTTGCGGATTGTCCGAACGAAACGGAAGCTAGCGTTCCTTCGAAATTGGCAATTTCTCATCGGGTAGCGCAACAATCTGGACGATGGAGGGCTATTCATGTCAAGGATTTCAACCAGGCCGATGTGGACGCATTTCTAACTCCTTTCGTCTTCCAGTCCAAAGACTTGTCGTCGCTTGAGGAGTTAGTACTTGATGCTGGTGATTGGTTCTCCTGGCATCGTGGGGATTATAATGCCCCTCCGTTCACTCTGTTGAGTCAAAACGAGATGACCCTTCCACCTTTCCGACTTCGTTCGCTGAGGATATTCGCAATTCGTCTTCCAAACCCAGAACAACTTGTACGGTCTCTCACTCATCTCCAATTCACCGGCACTCCATATCCTCTCAACGTCCTCGCTCGAGTACTGAAGGAATGCTCCTCCCTGGAGTCCTTGGAACTCATAGGATATTTCGTCCATCGAGAAGAGATACTTGCTTACGTTGCCGCATCCGCTCGAACCGCCATGGGCGACAAAATATATCTCCCAAGATTGAAGAGAATGTCCGTTCGGCTGAGCGGGTGGAACAACGCTCTTCTTGCATTTCTATTCGTGAACATAGTTAGTCCGGAATTAGAGGAATTTTCCCTGGATGTCAAAAGGCAGTTTATAGAGAGTCCGAGAAATACGAGAGGCGTGCCTAGTTTTGAGCAATTCGTGAGTCTCTCTTATATTCAAACTACCTATTCTGATGAAGTTCCTTTCTGTGTTTTAGTGCATGAACAGCCCGAAGCTCCGGAACCTTGCCCTCTTGTACGATACGACAGTTATATCAGACATCCTTTTCTCTCTTCCGACCGAAGCTTTCCCTCACCTTCATACCCTACGGATCGACTGCTTAGACCCTCAGTCGGCCAATGAGGCTCACTCCATGGCCACTCATTTTGGCATGGACTATACATCTCACCACCGAAGAAGAGGCTCTGGGTTCGGTTTGGGATATGGATATTATCCAATCTGCGATGACCTTGAGAGGTTTGTCGGGGCGCGTGCTGATTGGAGAGGTGGCGCAATGCTCCGGGATAATGGGAGGATAGTACCCAGAAGGTTGGCCAAGCTTGTCTTAGGAGAGTGTCCGGACGAGCGGAGAGCTTGGTTAAGCGAAAGGGTAGACGAGCTGGTGCTTCAGCGGACCCTTGATGCAAAACGAAGGTCAAGATCGGTCATGGGTCGAAGGTAGTGAATCACACTGGTCAGTTGGATGGCATTGTCTTCTTTCGTCGTTTTTGGACGCACACATTTCGATACCCTTGTTTCTGCACTGCTACCGGGAATTGGCGACTATTATCCTCAAACTTTCTCTCCCCTCGACGAATGGTTGGAAAGGTGGAGCCGTGAACTTATGCTGGATCTGCATTGTAACATATGTACTACACGTGTGTCGGTGGTTTTATCAATACCCTCAATATCAATTGCTCGTGAGTCCAACCATAGCGTGTGGTCGTGAACGAGATTATACACATGCGGCAAAAGTACGATAACCCGACGACCGCCCGCTTGCACGCGGATTGACCAAGAACAGAAAGAAACAAGCATGAAATCGGGATTGGGAAGTCGTTGGTAAGATAACGATATCATATGGCGAAAGCGAGTGTCGTAGAACGAAGGGGTCCAAGAGCAGTTGGCAACCCCATTTCCTCTCAACTGGGTGCCATGTATGTAGCACACTGATTGGGTGTTCACACTAAGACTACGCACGACCCCTATACCCATTTGCATTACGGAAATCATTTTCAAGATCTAACAGTGGTGATGGGTCGTATCCAAGGTCATTTCGGGGTATGATAGCTCCCCGTCCATCTGTAGAAAAGCGGGGGGAATCAGCGATCAGTATTCATTCTTGCGACGATGGGAAGGGAGAAATGAAAAGATGAATCACTCACCGAAAGGTGGAGGACTTCCTATCGTTTGGCTTGCAGGAGCGGTCCATTCTGATAGAGGCATCGAAGTTCTCGAGCTCGGGCGAACCAGAGCAGACGAGGAAACGTATTCGTCCGAGGGGCGAGTGCGTGGATTTGTTAAATTTGTAGGGTCTCTAAGGGTACTAGAATAGTAAGGAGCGGTATAGGAAGTGGCATGAAAGACGGGACGTGTGGTGGCTAACGTCGTTTCCGTCACATCTTGGCGATGGGGTGTGATGTCGCGTTCACGTTGTCGTCGGCGATAGAAGATGAATGCTACTATGAGAGCCACTGCAATAGCGACCACACCTCCTATGGTGCCGCCCACAATCGGTCCCACATTAGTTGGAGTCCAGTTTGACGATCGAAGTTGGGTTGGACTCGAGGATATCCAAGTGGTAGTTGTGGAAGCGAAGAAAGGGGTACTAGAGTTAAGAGAGGATCCCCATACTTCGACGTAGTCAATGGAGAGAGTAGCGCTATTGACGTTGTTGGCGATAGTGAGAAGGGTTGGAGATGAATCGTCACCCAGTCCAAGGAAGTAACACAATAATTGCTGTTTCGCTTCGTCGCTGAACAAGCCCGCATCACCGTTCATGGTCTGGAGCATTGGGATGACTAACGTCTTGTTTATACCACACGCATAACGTCCATGGCTGGGTCCAACTTTTCCGTAGACAGCAATGGCATCAGCTGTGGATGGAACAATGATGGATGTTCGAGCATGGTTCGTGTTCGTTGATGAAATCGTATCGTGGTATGACCCTTTGTCAAAGGCACCAATGTTCCAAAGAGATTGACTGGGAAGGTACTCGAACATGAGCACACTGCCGTCTGAACCAAACCAGCTTGAATCATCGACCAGTAACGACGTTGAATTGTCTGCAACGGTAGCCTCCCACACGATATAGTCAATATCGAAATAGCCATCTGAGGGACCCCCGCGGAGATTTATAACACTCAGGGCGTGCAGTCCAGGTGCGAGGTTTGATTGCCCAAATAACACATTCTGGAACGTGTCAACGGGGCTATAACCACTGTATGCGTTAACGTCACCATCCAAATTCACGGAATAGTTGCCATGATTTTTCCGTTTTGCGCCATAGATCCAGACCCCGGTCCCTTTAAAAATAAAAGTTGCCGTTGCGTTTATAATATTCGTCATCACCCCGGTGCTGTTCTGGTACTGATCCACGGACGGATCAGTTAAAGGTACCAGCTGCCAGCCACTCGTGACATAATATATGAGCGAGTTGGGGGCATCGACTGTGAAGTTGAGCTTCATGTAACAAAGCACGGGTTAAGGTGGTAGAGGGAACCTGAGGGTGGTTGGAGCACAGCGAGGGCCTGAAAACTCATTGAATGCGGGCGGCGATTGATGGCCACAGCATTTAGGGAGCTTCGCCCATTCGGAAAATCTTTGCGGAGCAGTTCAAGGTCACACAGCCACTCCTCAACCACCCAACGGTGGCCTCCCTTTGTTATACATGAGAATGTCGTCGATCTATCCCTTAAGGTCTGGCCGTGAAGAAGAGTGATCGGAATGATCAACAGACGGAGGACGAAATCCAACCAGCGGCCTGCAAACAATTTGGGGTCACCGCGCAATTGAAATTAACCGTTTCCGGCAAGCGATGTGACTCTGCTCCCAATTCAACCGATACACTGGAACCCTCGGAAACGATGTAGCTATCCCCCCTTCTGCAGCCTGAATGCGCCTGGGACCTTGTTGTGCCGATCCAAATTTGAGTGGCCGGCCCAGAAGCTTAACGATTGTGAGAGGTGCTTTGAAGGGCACGCATGTGTTACATACGCAGCCATCGACTTGGACGACGGACTGCGCTGTTGACCCCTTCAAATGGTGTCACCATTGCGGGACTAATGTGTCGAGGCATCTCCGGCCAGAAGCAGTGTTGTGACGTAGACACTGGCAAGAACAAATGGATCGCGACCTTAATCACACGCGTATCTTATTTTTTTTGGCTTGGGTTGTGCGATGCTTCGAGCCTCCTTGAACTCGGAACTTGCATGTAACTCTATTCGTGGAGACTCTAGTATCTAACGCGCTCCTGGAAAAGGGAAGCGGCATTTGGCCAAATTGTTGCGCATTGAAACTGGTGTAGCTATCGAGAACGGATTGTAGTGTTTTTCTCAATTGGCCTAAGATGGCATCACCGTCGTGAAGCCAATGCATCGGGGCATTTCCGGACAGATTGGAGCGGCGATGTGGATCGGGGACAAAACGGATCGTGATCTTGGATCTGTGTCCACCTTTTTTTCCCACGCACTCACCGCTCGGCTTGATGGTGAACGCATCCTGCGACCAGAGGCACCACTATCCGTTCAGCGCTCAGCGGAAAAATAGCAGATATTTGAGCGTCTTATATAGCCACTGGTGCTGCCGCGAAGCCGTTGATACAGTAATTCCTGGACATTGACGTACGCTGTGACCACCTCACTGTTGGAGCAGAGGTCCACGTTTTTTCTTTATCGCGCACGGACATCCTGTACTAGCGATTGTTCGTTGCTTTCTTTCGTGGGAACCACAACGATGGGATGCGATCGACGGCGCGCAGCAACCCAATGATGAATCACACCACTCAGTCGTGGATCGCTTAAAAGCCACCTCGACCAACTTTTTCGTGTTTATCTCCTCAGTTCACATCATTGGAACTGGGGTGAGATAGCCTTTATTTTTGAAGCTCGTATCCACATAGCTCATTACCTTGTATGCCATTCCCCTGGCGCTTACAGCGACGCTCCAATATATTTGGTTCACATCATTGCTTGGAACTGAGTGCTCACACGACTCTAGTTCTTCTAACAGTAATCTCCTCTTGGAAAGACTGATGCCATCGCCACTGCAGAACTTATCGCCGGTGCGTGCATATGGTTGAGGACAAAACGGATCACGAACTTGAATCAGAGCGCGTGCGCTCAGCTTTCTTTTCCCACGCATGGTGTCTGGGCAGAGATGAACTCAAGTGTGTTTCTCACCACTAGACTATCATCCGCTAATAACTTGTCACTAGCTAGGGCCAATGGCTCTTCTGAAATAAAGAGGAGAAGCGCTACAATGACATTGAAAGCAAATGGGGTCGCAATCATTTCCCACGGTGAATTTGTCCGTTGGAGCAGTACTGTAACCCGTTCCTCCCAAGAATTCACATGGAATCGTGTCTCCCAAGCGTGGTGACTGCACCGAAGCATTTTAGTTTTAGTTTGGTGGGTGTGTAAGTGTGAGGACAAAACGGATCGCAAAGTTGAATCGACGCGCTCGCGCGCTCTTCGCTTTTCCCACGCGTTTCTGCTTCATGAGTCACAGTTGAAGCTGTGGGAATTTTTCTTGTTTTGGCCGAACTAACCCGACATCCGACAACGTCTTCGAGGTTGCCCTTTCCCGCCCAAGTGCGCCCATATCATGGGGACTCTATTGGCCGATTCCGTGAAAGGCAGATTGTTATTTGCTGTCCCAAAGAAAGGTGTGGTTTTCCAGTGATTGTTCTAGCCTAAGGAAAGGACATCATCGGCTCACAGTCGAATTCAGGAAGGCTGCACGAGCAGTGTATCCAGCTACTAGATGGCGAGTATACGGATTATTGACATATATCGTGGACACCCCCGGCGGTTAACCGTGAAAGTGACTCTTGCAGGTGCTGACATCAAATACTTCAGGTCTCACCGTTTAGATATAGCCCTCGTCCAAAATCATCCGATCGCTCTGTAAGGGTTCTGCTTCTGGTACTTCAAGCGAGGGTAAATTTATCTTTCGCTACAGACTCTTCCTTAATGCCTCCGATATCCCTCAATTTGTTGGCTCTGGAAACGTCGATCTTGGAATAACGGGCCAAGACCAAATTGCCGAGTCGGGACTAACATCAAAAGTTAATGAAGTCCTCCCCCTCGGTTTTGGGAAATGTAGACTTCAAGTTCAAGTACCGGAATCTTCCCCATTCCAAACGGTCCAGCAGTTGTCTGGAAAGCGGATCGCGACGAGCTTCGAGTTTGTCGCTGGTGAATACTTTGGAAGAATCGATAAGGAAGTCGAGGCTAGTCGAAGTCATGAAGAACCATCTAGCCCTACAAAGATTCAATATATCGGGGGGAGCGTCGAAGCTGCCTGCGCCCTCGGACTCGCAGATGGGATAGGTTAGTCTCTCCCCTTTCCACCCTTCACATCGATCTTTGTCTAACATCTCCATCGTACCTTTTCCCCCACCCCGTCATGTAGTTGATCTCGTCGGTACGTGATCACCATTCCGTCGTCGCGGGAACACCACCCGACAGTTCAACTCGTCGAGCTCACGGAAATTGGCATCCCCATCAAAGAATCGGGTGAAACTATGCGTGCGGCTGGCTTACATCCAATTGCCACCATTTTGGAAACTCAAGCTGTTCTCATCACATCTAAAGCGCCCCACTCGACGACATCGACTAATCCTGTCCTTGTGGAACTCATTGAGAAGATTACGAAGCGTATCCAGGGTGTTATTGCCTCTTCCAAATTCGTTCTGTGTACGTATAATGTGCGAAGGGCGGACATGCAGCAGGCGGTGGAGATCACACGAGGGAAGAAGGCGGCCACGGTGTCTCCTTTGGAGCGTCAACCAGGTAAGATTTCTAATGCATGTATCCGCAGTAGGTTGATCCATTCACGCTGCCTTGCCCACTCCTAGGTGAAGAAGAATGGGTAGCCATCAACGTGATGGTCGAAAGGGCCACCATCGCTGATGTCATGGATAAATTGCAGGTGATAGGTGCTGAAGATATCCTCGTCACCAAGCTCGAAAATTGTCGTGTGTAGACGTAAATATTCGTTTGGATTAAATATAATGCAATCGGTATTTTGGATTTCGCATGCCGGGTAATCAAGACCACAAACTCAGACAGAGGAAGATACGCAAAATCTCAAAATCCCGGCAAAGCTCAGCAGATGCAGTCCAATCGTGCATCAGAATCCCTGACACCTAGTACGCGAGCACTGGCTGACATCCCCACCATTTCTGTACATCATCATTTCCCCCTAACAACCCTGCGATAAAGCCTCCGACGTCCTTCCTCGAAATCGAGAACATCCCCTTCCCTGAACTCTCCTCCTGTCCAGTCCCTTCCTGGATAATACGATAACTCCCCCTTCCCTTTGCCGTCTTATTGTTCAATAATGCAGGTCGAACCACACATACGTCTTGAGGCGCGATGAAAGGACTAATCGCAGCGTCAATGGAAGCTAGTGTTGTTACCTTAGGACTGATCTCGGATGGAGCAGGGAAGAAGCGAGGGTATGATTCTTCAGAGGGAAGAAGGGCTTTGGAGAGAGCGACTTCCATCGCTATCTTGTCAGCGTGGGGGTGCTCGAGGAGCATGGTGTACATGAGGCGAAGGCTATGAGATGTGCCAAGTTAAGGAAAGTGTGGCCGTCAGTGAGACAAGAAGACATACGCGAATGGAATGGTGCCGTGCGCGACTTTCCCCATTCCCATTGAGCTTACGAGAACTATCTTTGGCTTGACTGCGTATGAGTCATACCTCCTCCGGAGAGCTTGGAGAAGAAGGATAAACCCTAGGATTTGGGCGGGGGCACGTCAGCAATTGAGAGTTGACAGCGACATTGCCACGTAGGTCTTACCTCTAGAGCAGAGATCGGGCGGTTCGATGGGAAATCCCTTGGCAATAGCTTTCGTCGCAGCCGAAAAACCGCTTGGAGGAGTGAAACCTGTTCGAATTGCAAGCGTTCGCATTAGGGTGATCTAATCATCAAGGGTCACGTACCAATGCTATATACGATGGCTTTGAGATCCGAACCACACTCGTCTAAAAGGCCTTCAACGCTATCAGAGTTATGTGCGTCACCCGTCAGTAGCGTTGTCCGCTCCTTGACGGTAGGATCCAGTGAAAGGTAGGGGGATGACTCTTTGAGGACATCAGGTTTCCGTAGCAATAGCACGCTTCGCACGTTGGGTTGAGCAGCAGCAAGATCGGCGTAGGCTGCAAAACCAACTCCTCGAGAGGCACCAATGTAGGCAACAGTAGACATAGCTCAGGCTGTTCAGGTTTGGGGGGTAACGGCTTTAACCTGTCTCAACTCTCAAGGTTCCTATCTTTATACACGAGCCATTAACTCCTACAGCCGTGCCATTATGCCCGTCTCGATCACAGATGACCCTTGGAAGGAAACCCATAACAACCAGATTGTATTAAACTGTCTGAATTTCCGTCAAGCTGTCGGAATGGATCCATTCAACTGAGCACGCTGCACTGCCACTCTTCTGTATCGTGTTGGGTCGACTGTGTCAGAGTTTCCCTGCGCGATCAGTACTGACCTTGCTCGAGAGGGCTGGGACGAATCGGCGCAGCTTGTCGCAAATTTTTCGCTCGTGGCCGTCTCTGCAGTAACTGTTGCCGAATCCTCGTCGGGAGTGTCTCTAGCCCAATTTGGGCTGGCTCCACGTGGCCCCATTCTCACACTGTTCAATGTCCCTACGTAATCTGCTTTTCTCTGTGCATGAGACGATATATATTTTGAGCATCTTCTCGAACCTGGTTCTCACTGCACTCTTAGCTATTCTCTCATGGTTTATTAGCTTTAGGGATATCTGTATACACTCAATGGCTCACGCTGGATTCACAGTGACACCATTCTATCTACTACTAGAATTGACACCGACAACTATCTGTGCTTGGTGTCTGGTCAATTACGCTATCCCATCGTTACGTACGTTCATCAGCCTTCGCACGGTGAATATCCCTTGTGGAGTTATGACTTTAATCATTGACGTTTCTGACTCTCTGCCTTTAGGTCTGCGAGTCCTCGTTCGCAGTGATTGACAGGGCTGAACTTCGCCACCAGAGACCAGACGATCGAGTGCGGAATGCCAAGCACTTGACAGTTCCGTCATCTTACTGTAAATTCCAGGACTTTTGCACTCTGACATACCGGCCCCCCCACGTGTCTGCCTCTTTACTCGAAGTGAGGATCAGCACTTCAGGGCCAAACTCAGTGCGAGAAACAATATGAGAAGAAGAGGAGGCAACAGAAACACTGTCACCAACTCGGAATGGCCCTCAGCAACCGAGGGGTTCCGCTATCTTATGTGTCTTATTCGGTACGCTGGAGCTCTTCGTCGGTGTAAGATAGCTGCTCCTTGGTATGCAAGATGCCAACATCTGCGTGGCAGAACCGGTAGAATCCCCAAGCAACGTGGTTGGAGAATTTATCAGATATTGATGCCCTGGCCTCCATTTTCCTCGTTACCAAAATTAGTTGCGGAGTTCAAACCGTGCGGCGTGGCATCACGTTCGCCATGGAAGGTGACACCAATCTAACGGCGTTGTCGGGGCAGTGTTCCGGCTAGTCGGACTGCATGAGAACTCAAGCCAGATCCATTGGAAAAGAGAATTTAATCACGCGGAGACGCGACGTACATCCTTGCGTTTGAAGTCGCTTGGCAAACATATTCGAAGATATGTATGACACGAAACGAAGGCCCAGATGAGTTTACAGCCTGTTGTGCAAGTCACAATAGCCAGTCGGAGCCATCAGAGGCGAGAGGGAGAATGGTCGAGTGAGCGACAGCGTGTCATTTTGAAGGCAGTAAAAGGCGAGTTTCCGACATGATATCCCAAGGGCAGGGCCACATGTTCCACTGCGGATATGACCACCCTCCATTCCCATTAGTATCACTAGAACTGTCCTGGAGGCCCAGCAGTGGGGAAAGGTCATATCCAAGATCTCGTCGGGGCCTCAACGCAGCTTCCGAAAAGCATTGTCAAGCTGGGTTTGTCAGCGCAATTTGTTTTATTTTGAAACACCTGGAGGTGGACCGGATGTCCGGCTCGAAGGCGTTGAATTTCTTCGAACAGGGCCATTTGCGCGTGCTCCCTCACCAGAAGACAAAGAGCTGCAAATCGGTGGAAAGAACGTGCCTGTGTCGGTAGTAGAGCACCACTACAGGGAGAGCAGCCGAAACGACAAGCACACCCCCGACAATGCCACCTGCGATAGCTCCTATCTTCATGGCATTGGGTGAAGAGTCCGTAAAGACAGAGGGGTCCCTAGATGATGTGGGTTGGAACAAAGCAATTGCTGTCCCATTTGGCTGGTATACATCCCACCATCACTACTTATTATCCCAGGCGCCGAGCCACCTAGCGTCTTGTTTACAGTACATGTGTAAGGTCCATGACCAGGGCCAAGTTGTCCATATACGGCGACTGCGTCGGCAGTTGACAGAACGAGGGATACACTAGCCCCATGATTTCGGGTCGATGACAGCGTATTGTTGTACGCCTCGCCGTCTTTTTCGCCAATAGTCCAGGACGATGGGTTAGGGAGGTAGGACTTGAATTGAACCACGTCCAGTCGTCGACAATTAGCTGCATCGAGCCATCTTTGATAGTTGTCCCCCAGGTCATGTAATCAATGTCGAAAACATCGCCGTATGGCCCCCCACCCAAGTTGGTGATGGTCATAGTATGGATGAAAAGCCGTGCGATGAAAAGAGTTGGGCTTCAAAGACTCGATTTGGGTTGGGGAGATAACTATTATATCTAGCGGTTATGTTTCACAGAGGAATTCCCGTGGTTTGAACGTCGGGCACCGTACACCCAAATCGCAGAACCATTAAAGGCAAGCGTCGCAGTTGGCCCAACAGTTTTAGACTTTATCGCAGTCCCGTTTTGGTAAGAATTTGCGAAGGGGTCACCAGCCAAGGAAATCATTTGCCAGCCTCCGGATGAGTAATGGATCAAGGAGTTTGGAGCATCGACGACCAGGTTGTGCTTCATCCCCACTGCGTGCAAAGAGCAGGGAGAGGGAGTACTGTCGCAGCCAAAATGTTGCTTGATGCCAAGCAGTGGAGTTGCCATCAACTTCAGGCGTTGATTGATGCTACGTTCCTCCCATGACAGGGACTACATAGATAGCAGATCTCTCTCATCACTTTACGCCGCTCCGCCTTATGAACATGCACAACATAGCGCTTCACTGACATTGCTAGGGTGCCTATTACGGGTGGGACGCCAACAAGTTGGTACACCCTCTTTGCACCGGGCCCTGGGAGCTGGGCTCTGTGTGGTTCCCTGGGGCGTTCTGTCAAGGATCTACGTGTTCACTGTTGTCAGAATTATGAACTGGGGTCACACGTAATGCCGAGTTTCCTCTTTGATTCCCGGTTTGGCGGACCATGCAGTCATTTCCTGAGCTGTATCGCGTGTAGCGGAGTTGGCCAAATCGTTCAGTTCACTCGGCGAAAGGTTGTGTTGCATTTACTGCTCGCGGTCTGTCGCCCATAATGCAGTTTACATATTCGCTGGCGCGATGATGGAGTTGACCTTGGAGAATATCTTTGAAGTGGATTGTATCAGCCGGCCTGGAAATCGTATTTTCTTCGGAAAACATTCGTTTTGTCTCGAGATTTGCTTGATGTAAGGGCTAGCGTTGTCAGGCGTGGCATGCAAGTGTGGGATGATGAACTAGCGTAGCGTAGGTGTGGTAATCAAGCGAGCAACAAGGAAACGATTGAATGGGTTAGCAGGGTCCGGTAACTCCCGGCGACCATGGGAATGAACTTGCCACCAGCCCGGATGGCTCGACACAGGCAATTTCTGCCTGTCGAGTCATTGCTATTGAGTGATTGACTAGGCAGGACTCCAGCCTCTAGGACTTCGTAACAGGCTTCACAATCCGCCCTCATCGATTAACTACTGCTGTTCAGTGTCTGCGGCTTACCAATTACATTTTCTAGTAGCCGAGTGCTGCCGCTATGGGCTCCAGCAATGCCCACCCCAAAGCCACCCCCAATTGGCCTATCTTTCCTCCCTCCATTTTCCTCTGGCTCTTCCTCTTCTTATCATCCACAGTTAGCTCTAATTGATAGGACATTCCTTGGAATCCCCACTTCCAAGAACAGAAGAGCGGGGGATATGTTTTAGTACCAATGGGGTCCGGGCTAGGCTCCCACGACAGCGATTTCGGGCAACGAACTATCCAAGTTTGGTTGTGACATATAACCATTGAGCACTGCCACTGCCCTAATTTTCTTGCCTGCCTCACTCCTTGTTTCTGCCCATTTTTTCAATCTCATGTAAATTGCTTAGAAGGAATCAGGACAGCGAGTTCCCACCAACGTGGCGATGCGCGGTTGAATCGGTTCGTTCCGGCAATACTGGCTGTGTCGGCAATGGCGACCAACCCCTAGCCACTGCGGCGTTTTCGATCAAAGTTAACCCCTTGAAGGTGGTATAAAAACAAACGTTTGACACAGGCCATTTACTAGCATAACTTCAAGCCGAACAAACATGTCCACCGTCGCCTACATTGGAGCCTCTCGAGGAGTCGGTTTTGCAGCCTACGCCGATCTCGCTGCTGCTCGTCACAACATACGAAGCGTGTTGATGCTACGAAGGCCTGATGTTCTCAAAGATTCGCCATCCTACCTTTCTCTAGATGCCACAATCAAGGAGAGGACAACGTTGTTGATGGGTGACGCCCATAACTCTGACAGCGTTAAGGGGCTTTTGGACGAGTGTGGTCCGGATCTCAAAGTCATCGTATTTAGCATTGGTATGTGGCTCTCAAGCGTTTAGCCCCCCAATACGAACTCCTGCAATTCGGACAGGGTTTACCCCTCCAAGCGGGTTTTTGGCCGCGACGAAAGCTATTGCCAAGGGGTTTCCCATTGACCCGCCTGATCTCTGCTCCAGGGGTAAGATCCACGCCAACATGAACTCCCAATTGCTGATACACTCCGTCCCAACTCCAGGGTTTATCATTCTTCTCCAGGCGCTTCAACAGAGGCATGACTCATACGCATCCAAGCCAAAAATAGTTCTTGTAAGCTCAATGGGGATGGGGAAAGTCGCCCACGGCACCATTCCATTCGCGTATGTCCTCTACCCCCACTGACGGCTGGACTTGATCTAACACATTTAAATCTAGTCTTCGCCTCCTTTACACCACAGTCCTCGAGCATCCCCACGCTGACAAAATAGCCATGGAAGTTACCCTCTCCAAAGCCCTTCTTCCCTCATCATCATACCCTCACTTCTTCCCATCCCCATCCGAGATTAGTCCGATGGTGACGACCGCAGGTGACATTGACGCCGTGATTAGCCCATTCATCGCACCTCAGGATGTATGTGTGGTTCGGCCGGCGCTCTTAACTGATGACGCGGCAAAGGGAAAGGAGAAATACCGTATTATCCAGGAGGGGACTGGACGAGAGGAGAGTTCAGGCAAGGGGATGTACTCAATTTCCAGGAAGGACGTCGGAGGCTTCATTGCAAGATTGTTAGGAGGTGATGATGATGTACAGAAATGGTGGGGATGTCAGCCAGTACTTGCATACTAGGAGCCCGTGCTTCCAGTATACGGATGGACTGCCTCCGCTCCCTTTCTATTGCCCGCAGATTAGCGTATTTCAGGCCAGAAGCTTGCCTTCACGATCAGAATTGACTGTGCTCGGGGAGGATAGAACAATTCGCAAGTCAGACACGCCCTGTTGAAAGTAAGGTCGACGTGCCTACGTTTCCGCGCACGGCCGTTTCCCCCCAAGATATCTTCACTATTCCCTTCTTGGTCTGCTTGTTGATAGATACAGACGCTAAAGCCGCATTTTTTTTTCTCTTCCTGTAAGTGCCAATTGTGGTTTAGTTCAACGACGGTTTGTATCCGTTAGACCATTTGTCGACGAAACAGTGCCGATAGGTCATTGCATCATCGTGTTCAGTGTGTAAAGCCAACCACATCTTGCGACGCTTCCAGACTGTCCCCCCTCCCCCTCAACCTCGAGAAAATGATTCTTACGCTCCATAACAATAACCTCCAATATATATACCCCTTCTCCAGATTCCGACTTCACGGTCACCTACTTTCATCCTGCTCGGAGATGCGCCAATATCGATCGTTGAAATCAGGAAGACTTCACCTGGAATCTGCTCGGGAGCTAGGAGGCGGATGGGCAAATCCGATGGACTTGACACCAACATGTCCTCTCCCGATTCTTCGTTGCGTTTCTTGGGGCAGAAAAAGCGGAGTCCTTGCGAGAGCAGGTCAATATTATCAAGGAGTAGTATGCAAGGACAGGAGCTTGGTCGGTGATCAGATTGTTCTAAAGAAGTATAATTGGTAACGCATATACGCGGATCGCCATGACATCTACATACACACATCATCTTTCCACCGGGATCAAATCAAACTCGAAAGTCATTTACACCTCTATGCTCCGCATCTCTGCCTGCGTGAGGGAAAATGAAGAACTGCTTCATACCCTGCCCAAATGTCCCGTCACCAACGCAACGACACCTTCTGGGGGGGAGGTAATGACAATTCTATCTGCGCTTTGCCAAAACACAGAAATTGAAATTCCGGTGGTATTTTGCGAGCCTGGATTAATATACAACCCTGGTTAAAAGACATCGATGGAAGTCCTTGTTGATGATAACGTTTTCGGGCAAGAAGTTATAGTCCACTCGGCAACCCGCTATTGAAGAGAAAACCTGTACAATCGTTGTGTCTCCGATTTTCCTCTCGAACCGAAGACCTCCGTCACATCGCCGGGGCCTCCATCTCCTTTCAGCGTGGCTCTATCTCTCTCCACAAAGCAGACCTTTCCATCTCTCCGAATCAAAATTACGGTAGTTATACGGGTGCCGCAAAGTTTGCTTGTTTGCGTTGAAGGCGGTTCCGGTGAAGCGTCAGGATTGATTGGGGTGGAAACACAAGGCACAATATTGAAGGGAGGGATGAAGATGGAGTCACGAAGATGATCTTGAGAAGGATGGAAAGATGGCGGCGACCATCCCATGAGTTCCATGAGGGCTTCTATGAGAGCTACTTCTTGCTCATCATCGGTTAGGTCTGAACTTGAAGATTTTCGAGCCTTGAGTATCCCTTCGAATCGTGCACGACCAACATCTGTCTTCGGCCACGGTCCTGTTTGACCGAGGCCATCCACAGGGCTTCCATCTATGGCGTTGGATATTCCGCCACAGTGGCATTCATCGGCAGAGATGGGACGGTATGTCAAGCGACCATGGCCACCATGATTGGTTAGCAGAGCAGCCTCGTACTCCCAACCCGATGATCTCGACGGTTTCGGTGCGAAGAGGGTGAAGTTGAAACCGGCACTCTCAAGGTGCGTCGTGTCTCCATCATAGTGCTCGCTAAGGTATCTGAGCAGAGGTGATGGTGTACTGTCATGATGGGAGAGATACTCCTGGGCGAACGATCCTCGGGAGACAGCAAACTTCTTCCCGTCCAAAGGCTCGATGATATTGGTCCTGTGAACAATCATGTTTATTCCAGGCAGGCAGTCGGCGCAATCAGTAGTTCAGGCGCACAAGAAACCAATCTGACCGGCCCTATTGATGCCTAACCACGTCCCTCCGCCCTTTAAATCGATGCCTGATAGAATAAAGCCTCCAGAGACTGAGGGAATCTGTACATCATTATCTGATGGTCCCAGTCTTACGCCGAAATTGTGGAAACGCGCTGGCAGTGTTGGACGGGCCAGGAACTCGTCCCTATTAGCGCACAATATCCTAGCGGGTGGAAAGAGTTAGTGCCGTGCGCAACATCAGCAAGGTCGACATTGTAACCCACAGGCAGTAATTAGGGTCATCTAGTGACCAGAATCCGATACACATGATGCGAGAATGTGAGGAGCACTGGTAAGAATGGAAGGTATGTCGAAAGGTTTGGGTCGAATGTTGTATAAATGATCCGAAGGGTACTCCATGGGACGAAGCTATATATCGTGGGGCACAGCTATATCAATCTCGGACTCGGGATACAGTAATTAATCCAGTCTTTTCACAAAAGGTACACGAAAAAGTTCATAAATTGAGTTCAGGTTGTATAAGCGCAAAACTCTTGGTTAGCGACCGCAAGCGCCCGATTAATTGGGAGGCACACCTCTTACCAGGGTGCGGGAACTCGTGCATCGAGCGCTTATCTTTTTCTCTCCTTCGTCCACTGTCACACTACGGCATTGTGCCACTCGGTTGCTACGCCGTACCTGCTGTCAGTCAGCCCTTTCGCATGTTGATTGACCGCGCGCGCCGATCTAGCAATAATTCCCTGACCTTCGGGTACCTTCGGTAAGCAAGGGTCCGGTACTTACCGGTCATTATTCTTTCCCGTATTTGCATACCCGTTCTCTTTGTATTGTACTGAGCGGTCCAGGAGCCCCGGCCGTATATACATCTACAAACCGAAGGCTAACATATCGGTGTGGGCTGCCGCCAGCTCTCAGGCTGAGGCCTTCCACGTACGGTCATAAGGACGGCACCGGGTGATTCCGGTTTCATCATCGCTGACGTATCGTCGGCCTCCTCGGCCCACCGACGTCACATACGTGCCGCCCTTCTACTGGGTCTTCAACGACCGTATTAAGGCGCCCCCAACGCCTACCTCTACCCGATCAAGGCCTGGGCATCGCGACATCAATCTAGAACCACATCGGGGATGCTGGCGAGGCGGTTGAGGCGGAGACGTCTCGTTCCTTTTCCTTCTTGCTTCTGCTTCTGCTTCCGCGACTTCTCCTTCCGTCGCGCTCCTTTATCTGTGGGTTAGTTGTTGGTGTAGCCGGGTGCCGCTTTGATTGGTGGACTGTCGGCCATGCTCGCGACCTTCGAGTGGCGTCTACTGAATATACGCAAGCATTCCATCAGTCACTGGGAATTTAATTCTCCTCCCCCAAATATCAAGGTTGTAGAAACAGGATCGGCACTGAGTATGCACTGATAGTATACCATCACCTCCGATGTGGTTCCTAGAAATCGAGTGCCTAAGCTCTACGGTGGTTTGTCAGTCAGCGTCAGAGCGTCCCGAATCCCCGAGAAAGTGATTTTTACGCTCTATACAGTAAGCTCCTATACATCCTTTTCCCTCCGGATCCCGAGTCAGACTCCCCAGCTCCGCCTGTTTCCACCCTTAAGAAGATCCCTCGAACCCGAGATCATCCTGCCTGGAACGCTCGGAAGGAGGCGGATGAGCAAATCCGATCTCGTTTGCTGGACTTCACACCGAAGTGTCCTCTCCCGATTCCTTGTGTGTTCAGTGCATCTGGGACATCTCTGGCCTTTCGTCATGGAAGTGAAGGCGAAGTGACCCAGTCCCCCGCGATTCCTTGTTCCACATCGCACCAAATCGATGTTGCGCCCATCGGATTGTGGCCATTCTTGGGGCAAAAGGAGCGGAGATCTTTAGAGAGTAGGTCAACATCATCAAGGAAGAGTGCGAAGATACGTGCTTGGTCAGTGATCAGATTGGATTGATGCAATGGACATTCTCATACTAACTAGTCGAACTGCCTTCGGCTGGCTCTGATGTATGATGAGTCGTGGGTGGGAACTGGCGTCTTCAATTGGAACCCCGTTCGGGAACCTCAGAATGAATTCTCATAAGACTGGGTTGGACATATGTAGTTAGATTTCCCGGAAGCAATTGTGGGCCAGCCCCTGTCCATTCCTTATCACCATGTCTTTGAGGCGAAAAGCCAATGTGCTTAAGCAAAAGGTCGATGAAATTCTTGCAGCAGGAGGCGATGTAGCAGTTCCAATTCTCACCGCTGTTAACGCTGCATCAGATGCGTTCCCTCCCCTCAAGTCTGCTTCCAGCGGCGCACTCTTTATATTCGACGTGTTCAAGGTGTGTCATGGTGATGATCCATGCTGAACTGGGCGCAAAAACTGACGATCTGTTACGTAGAAATTCAAGCAGAGCAAGCAGGAATGGGAGGATTTTGGAGAATACGTCAACACTATGACCGATGCGATTGCAGCCATCAGGTCGTATGATACATTAAGTGATGAGGCAGCACCTTGGATGGAAAGTATTACGAACCTGAACGGGTAGGCAGCGTTTGTCCTATGCAATGTCTAGCTGACGTATAACATAAACGATTCACAGCGCATTGCAGCGCATTCAACACGAAATCAAATTGCATGGGGGCCCGCGGAGAAGGTTCTCCTTCAGCAATTTTTTCTCTCTTCCGAGGGACCTAGATGGCTTGAAGAAGGATCTCAAGGAGGCTCTGGAATTGTTCCAGGTAACCGTGCTTGATCTCGTCTCTGGCTCTTCTGACTACATCGCGGGGATGGTATAGGTGAGCACCATTGGCAGCAATTCTGGTCGGTTAGCTCGAGTAGAGAATGCTTCGGTTCTCGGGGGACTCCGGCTTCCTAGTGTTGCCCACCACGATTCTTCTCAGACGTGCCTGGAAGGTACCAGGATCGATCTCATGGAGCGTATTATGGCCTGGTGTCACAACACCAAGGATAGTGAGAGACGCGTAATGCTGCTAACGGCCGTGGCCGGTGCCGGCAAGACATCTGTTGCGCACTCCATCTCTGAGAAGTGCATGGGGGAAGGGATATTGGTATTTTCCTTCTTCTTTAGAGCTGGTGAGCAATCGCAACCAGATTGTCTATTCAGCGGCGTGGCGCGGTCTCTAGCAAGGCACGACCCAGTGTGCCGAACCTCCATCGTATCTACCCTTCAGAATAATCCGGCTCTGACGACTGCACCGTTCACCATGCAATTCGAGAAATTGGTGGCTGAACCCCTTCGTCTGAAAGTGCTACCCTCCGATCGACCTATGGTGATCGTAATCGATGCCCTGGATGAATGCGAGCCACAATCATTCGAGCTCCTTGCCAACATACTTCGAGAGCGTGTGCCCAAATTGCCCTCTAACATCAAATTCTTTGTCACCTCGAGGCAATTTGACCCTGTTGAGCGTTTTCTCCCTCTTCAATCTCCTATTGATCGTGTCAGCATTGATCTTCTGGATAATACAAATGTGCAAGACTGCGATACCTACATCCGTATGCAACTAGAAAAACTGAAACACGTACATCCTAGTTTGAATGATGGACTCAAGCTCAAGCCCAAGGAAGAGGAGATGTTGGTCCAAGGCATTTTGAAACGAGCGGGTGGCTTATTCATTTGGATCAGTACTATCTTCCATTACATGAGGATGACGAGCGAGGCTCCTATGGGAACACTGGCGAGACTGCTTGATACCGGAGCGGACCATTCGAAGACTTCAGCCGAGGAAATGATGGATAGCTTGTACATGAACATTCTGGAGAAGTGTGATTGGAAGAATGAAGAATTCGTACACGACTACCCAGTTGTGATGGGAGCAATCTTATTCGCACAACAACCGCTGTCTGTTGATGCTTGGAATGCCATCCTATCGCCAGTTCTGAAGTCTTCTTCCATCCATTCCACATTAGCTCGACTTGCTCCTCTCCTCTCGGGTTATGGAGGATCTCACACGCAAATTCGTATCCTGCACCAATCCTTCCGCGGCTTTGTCACGGAACGAATCAACTCACAATCATCCATACCCCGTCATTTCGCGGTGGATGCGGGGAGGGAGAATGCCACGGTGGCCATGCGCTGTGTTGACATCTTGAATAAGGCCCTCCCCTCTATCGAGGGTTTGGGGACGCTTGAAGACCTGTCTAGAGAGAGCGAACTACTACCCATTTCAAGCCCTCAGGAGGTACTGTCTGAACAGTTCCGTTACGCATGTCGGCACATCGTGTATCATCTTAATCAAGTTGAGGAGCCGCCGAAGGAGCTTGTTGCTTCGGTTCGCGCATTTCTCAACAAGGAACTAATGCGCTGGGTAGAAGTTTGTGTGAGAACGGAAGGGTATATCAGTATAACATCGTTCCCAGAGTGGGCCAAGGTGCGAATCATTGATGGGGTTTATGAGCGATTCTTAACAGTGTCATGTTCAGCTAAACATGGATCGTAGTTCCGGAAAAATCATTCACGCGCTAGTCAAGGTACTCCGTAATGTGTGGGGAAATTTGGCGTTCTTTTCGAGATTCCCGGAGGCATATAAATTGGCAAAGGATTCAGTCGTACTTTACCGTTGCCTTGTATCCGTTGACTCGGAGTCCTACACCCCAGATTTGGCTCTATCTCTTGGGCGTTTATATGCCTCACTCTTCTACCTCGGAGAACATCTCGAGTCCCTCCCCACGATTGAAGAAAGTGTCAAGCTCTTGCGTCAGCTGGTTGCTGTGCATCCGACGTTGTACACCCCTGACTTGGCCCATTCACTTGTGAACCTGTGTGCCTCACTCTGCTGTCTTGAACGGCACTCCGAGGCCCTCTTAGCGATTGAAGAAAGCGTTAAGCTTTGGCGTGAGCTTGTTGCTGTTGATCCGGCACCCTACACACCGAATTTGGCTCAATCACTCCAGAATCTCAAAGTATCGCTTGACAAACTCGGAAAGCACTCCGAGGCCCTCGAGGTGATCAGAGAAAGCGTCAAATTATGGCGTGGGCTGGTTGTCACTCATCCAACATCATATACTCCAGATTTAGCAAGATCGCTTCAAAAGCTTAGTGTGTCACTGAACAGAGTCGGGGACCATTCTGAGACACTTCCAGTGATCGAGGAAAGTGTTAAGCTCTGGCGCCAGCTGGCAGCCAGCCATCCAACATCGTACACCCCAGATTTGGCTCGCTCACTTCAGAATCTTCATGTATCACTTGACAAGCGTGGACGGCATTTTGAGGGACTTTTGGTAGTTGAGGAAAGTGTTGGACTCTGGCGCCACCTAGTCGCCGTTCATCCTACATCTTACACTCCAGATTTGGCTGGATCGCTCGAGAACCTTAATGAATCACTTGGCAAGCTGGGACGGCACTCTGAGGCGCTCTCAGTAATTACAGAAAGTGTTCAACTCTGGCGCCAGCTCGTTGCCCTTCATCCGAGATCATACACCCCGGATTTGGCCGAATCGCTCGAGAATCTTAATGGATCACTCTCCAATCTTGGTCAACATTCCGACGCACTCCCAGTGATCGAAGAAAGTGTAAATCTCTGGCGGCGGCTAGTTTCATTTCATCCGGCATCATATACCCCAAGTTTGGCACGGTCACTCCAGAGTTTTAACACGTCCCTCACCAATCTCGGACGACATTCAGACGCGCTTCCGGTAATAGAAGAAAGTGTCGGGCTCTGGCGCCAGCTCGATCCAACATCATACACCTCCGATTTGGCTAAGTCGCTCGAGAATCTTAACGAATCACTCTCAAATCTTGGACGACATTCTGATGCCTTCCCTGTGATTGAAGAAAGCGTCAATCTCTGGCGCCAGCTAGTTTCGACTTATCCAGAATCGTATACCCCAAGTTTGGCGCGGTCACTCCGGAACCTTAACACGTCACTGTCCAATCTCGGACGGCATTCTGTTGCACTCCTGGCGATTGAAGAAAGTGTCGAGCTGTGGCGCCAGCAGGTTGCTGTTCATCTGACGTCGTATTCCCCGGGTTTGGCCTTATCACTCAAGAATCTCAATGAGTCCCTTTCCAATCTTGGACGACATTCCGATGCGCTCCCAGTGATCGGAGAGAGCGTCAATCTCTGGCGCCATCTGGTTGCAATTTATCCCGCGTCATACACCCCCAGTTTAGCACGATCACTCCAAAATCTTAGCATGACACTTTCCAATCTCCAACGGCATTCTGCCGCACTCCCGGTAATCGAAGAGAGTGTCAAACTCTGGCGCCAACTGGTTGCCGCCTATCCGGCGCTGCATACCCCGGGTTTGGCCATATCACTCTGCAGTCTCAGCAGCTCGCTTCATAACCTTGGTCGTCATAAAGAGGCCCTACCTCTCATTGAAGAATCCGTTTCCCTGTGGCGTCCGCTTCTCGATAGTCATCCAACTTCATATGCTTCTGATGTAGCCTTGGCGTTGCACACTCTCTCAACTGAGTATTCATGTCTCGGGGACCATTCAGCTGCACGTGATGTGGGTGAGGAGTCGTCGGCACGCTATTACCGACTGTATTCCCAATATCCTGACGTCTACAGACACAGACTTTGGCTTGCATATTCCTCCGTCGCTGGTGCATGGGAGGGTCTTGGCAGACAAGATATGGTAACGACTGTAAGCGCTCTCATGCGAAACCTGTCACGACCCGGAGAATAGACCACCTGTACACATGTTCATCGCAATCATCCGCGCAGCAAGCTCGAATATAAACCTCAGAACTTCCATACATTGTTCGTCCTAAGTATAGCAGCGAGAGCAGATCCATTGTCGAGTCCCAATTCGATTGTGAAATCGATCGTCAGGGCAGTGAGATACCTTACGCTGTATAAGCGTGCACGCGTGATGGACGTCGCTCACCAGATGCAGGTCACTAATAAGGAGGATTTGTTTCGTCATGTCATGTGTATTTGTTCTGAGTGGTAGGATCCAAAACTTTGCTGGACACAATAAAGACATGGTTCTATCCTCTCGTACTCACAGACGTTCCGTTGGCCAGGCCACAACTTGGGTTGCTTCCGGAAATCTGGCTCCAACATGATGAGAGCCTGCATTTCAAGAAATTCCCGCTACTCTGTAGCGGGTCTTGAATGCGTAAACTGAATGCCCGTGCAAGAGGTCCTGTATTATTGCAAATTCCCTTGCTATCCAGGGTCCTTATCTTGATTTGTAAGCCAACTTTCCGCATTTATTTTGTAACTCTTCTCGCTCTAAAAGCTCCCCTCCCCAATAACTTCCCCTGCCCTTCATGCCATGTTCCTTACCCATTCTCTCTTTCACAGCCTTATTCGACATTTCGCTAATGTCTTGTGGCCAATGATGTCATCACCCATTGCACGGTCATTAGCGGTCGCGGAAAATGGAGTTTGACTCAGTGCCCACGAGGTTTTGAGCTGTGAAACAGATGAGCTTATGTGCGAGCCTCCTGTTCTTTCGCGCCAACTTGTGCTAATAAACATTGCATTGCTGGTTCGGGAGGTTGTGTACGATTCACAGACGGACTCATGCATGGGTTTTTTTGGGGTTATGTTCGCTGGGCGCTTATGTTACTTGTGGATTGTCTACCAAAGTCCAAAAGCAAAGCGTAGTACCCTGCCCGTCAGTGTAGGTCCCAATCAGGGAGGGCCATAGTTCCTGGAAGCCGGGCGGATTCTTACCAATAATGCATGATAATGTCGCGCTCCCCAGGCTTGAGGCACTTCGAACACAGGCCATCTTGGGAAGGACGCACTGCAGTTTGAGTCTTTAAACAATCCTCATGAAGAAGGCATCCTGTTGCGCATTCAAACCCACCTCGAGTTAAAGCAATCAGGGCCCGGCCCTGAACGGATTCGCTCACGCAGTCACCATGGATGACACTCAATTTTCATCCCCAACGCTACTCTTGTCGTTTCAAATCAAGCTGAGGGCCTTGGGAGTTGTCTTGTTGCAAATGCATGAATTCGCACGTACACGGGTAGAGCACTCGTTCAAGAGGAGATACCAATGTACCACAGCGCGCAGTGACACAAGTTTGGCTAACCGCCCCACTGCTGAAAGAGAAGAAAGGCCAGGGGAATTTTCAGGGCGATTTGGGACAGCACTATAACTCACAATGCTGAATTCAATCTGGCCTTCCTCCATGGACGTCAGATGAGAGAACCGATAAGAGTAGCGGGTAATGCCGGCGTCCGTCAGTTATTCAGGCACATCCTACGACGCTCATGGGGAACTGAAAGGTCTCAGGCTGGCAGAGTTCATCAAAAAATCACGCGCCATCGGCAAAAGGACCAGCCGACACGCCGAGAGCGCGAGCACAGGTAGAGAGAAGCATAAACGCTCACTCCGTCACCCCAACCACACCAACCAGCCGCCCTTATCGATCGTATTACGTCTTGCGATGCTTTCGGAACGTCCCCTCGAATCCCAGAGAAAGTGATTTTTACGCTCCATACAATAAGCTCTTATACACCCCCTTTCCCTCCAGATTTCGAGTCAGATGAGCAAATCCGGTCTCATTTGCTGGACTTCACACCGACGCGTCCTCTCCCGACTCTTCGTGCGTTCAGTGCATTTGAAACATCTCTGGCCTTTCATCATGGAAGTGAAGGCGAAATCCCGCGATCCCTCGTTCCACAACGCACGAAATCGATGTTGCGCCGATACAACATTCTTGGGGCACAAGGAGCGGAGTTCTTTTGAGAGCAGGTCAATATCATCAAGGAAAAGTGTGCGAGGATACGTGCTTGGTCAGTGATCAGATTGTGCTGAAGTATAATTGATGCAATAGACATTCTCATAGACGCATTTATGCGGGTCTTCATGACAGAGTCTCCGCGATCCCACCGCGAGTCTTGGGTCGAATCAAATTTGTTGGTCATTTACAGTTCTATGCTCCGCGTCTAAGAATGAAGAGCAGCATCATATTCAGTTCAGCGCGAACGTCCTGTCGCCAATTAATACCAGCACTTATGGTAGGGAAATTATATTTGGACTTAGGTAGTGGATACTGCCCGCATTCTACATACAAGAAATATTGTTGATGACAGTTCTGTCTGCGCTTGACTAAAAACACATGGATTCTGAGATGATGTATTGATCGCACAAGAATTTTATGGATTTCGATTTGTGGGCAGTAGATAAGTGCGCGTTATAGTCCGCTATGTAAGGGAAAACTTGTGCACTCGCTGTGTCTCCAATTTTCCTCTCGAACCAAAGACCTCAGCCACATCTTCCGGTCCTCCATCTCCCTTCAGCGCGCTTCTATCTCTCTCCACAAAGCAGACCCTTCCGTCTCTCCGAACCAAAATTACTGTAGTTAGACGGGTGCCGTAAAGTTTGCTCCTCTGCCTCGGAGGTGGTTCCGCTGGCGGAGTAGCATCAGAGTTAACTGGGGTTGAGAGGCGAGGTACAATATTGAAGGGAGGGATAAAAATCGAGTCGCGAAGACGATCTAAGGATGGATCGAAAGACGGCGGTGACCATCCCATGAGTTCCATGAGAGCTTCTATCAGAGCCACTTCCTGCTCGTCATCGGTCAGGTCTGAACTTGAGGATCTTCTAACATTGAGGATTTCCTCGAATCGTACACGACCAATATCTATCTTTGGCCATGGTCCTGTTCGACCAAGACCATCGACGGGGCTTCCATCTACTGCGTTGGATATTCCTCCGCAGTGGCATTCATCGGCAGAGGAGATGGAACGATATGCCAAGGGGCCACGGGCTCCATGATTGGTCAGCAGAGCAGCTTCGTACTCCAAACCCGATGATGATCTCGACGGTTTCGGTGCGAAGAGGGTGAAGTTGAAGCCGGCAGTCTTAAGGTGCGTCGCATCTCCGTCGTAGTGTTCGCTAAGGTAGCCGAGCAGTGATAATTGTGTACCCTCATTATGCGAGAGATACTGCTGGGCAAACGATCCACGAGAAACGGTATGCTTCTTCCCGTCGGAAGGCTCGGTGATATTGGTCCTGTGCATATAATCATGTTTATTCTATGCAGGTAGTGTACGCAGTCAGTGGTTCATGCGCACAAGAAACCAATCTGACCACTCTTGTTGATGCCTAACCATGTGCCTCCTGCCTCTAAATCGATGCCCGATAGAATGAAGCTTTCGGAGTCTGAGGGAACCTGTCTATCATCACCAGGTGGTCCCGGTCTCGCGCCAAAGTCATGGAAATGGGCTGGCAGTGTTGGACGGGCCAAGACCTCGTCCCTATCAGCGCACAGTATCCTAGCTCATGGGAAGGGCCGGTGCCGTGCGCAATGTCGGGTGTAAGACGCAAGGTAGGAGCAGGTCGACATTGTAACCCACAGGGAGTAAACAGGGTCATCTAGTGACCAGAATCCGACGCACATAATCAAAGGACAGAGGTGGAAAGAATATCGTTTATTCTGGATATTTATCCTGCAAACTACAGGCTGCTCGTGAAAGCGCCAAGGGGGGGTCGGGGTAAATACACGAAAATAAAGTGAAAAATAAAGCGATTTGGGTATGCTTGTCCAAGAAATGCCCCAAACACTGCTCCACTCTCAAGTCGTCGCGGATGGGTTGTTTGGAAGGGTTATCGAAAGGTCGAGCTCCTTGACAGCCGAATTAATGCTGTATAGGTGACCCAAAGGACACGCTGCGCGATGAATATAGCGCAGAGCCGTGGTATAGGCAATTGAGCCGATCTGTTCACGAGAATGGTTTGGTTTAGGCTGTGAAAGCAACCACACTCCTTCAATTAGATCTCACATCTTTCTAACCCAAATCTGACCCAACAGAAGAGCAGGGATCATTTATTCTTGGGCTGGGACTGCACCAGTTGTAGAGGGAGAAAAGAAAAAAAGGAAAAGAAAGGCATTTAACAAGCAACCACACAAGTACAGTAACGAACACAATGTCAACGCGTTTAGTTGAAGGATCAGAACAATAATGTATGAAAAATAAGAAGATAGTGTTTTGAGGGACGAAGATAGCAGCTTTTAGAGAATACAATACCGAAAGGAAGCCAGCGTGGGTATTACCAAGCAAAGAAGAGAACTCGTTAGGCCAAGGAGAGTAAGGTTTCCTCAAAAAAAAGAAAGCAATGAAGTTTTGTTGGGCGTTGGTTCAACGAAAAATTCATGGTGGGTTAATGGTGGAAATAAAAAAGCTTCAAGTTCACGGATTAAACTAACGCACCACCGCATTCCGGTTGTTCTTGCAGATTTCTGCGTCGCGTGTCTTAGCATCAATACCACGCTGCTGCTTCAAAACATCACGATGATCTCGACGTTGATCCCAGTCACCACCACGAGAGGGCGCAGCATACCGATGGTCCCGATCCCGACCCCGCTCACGACGACTGTCGTACCTATCGCGTTGATCATCCCAACCGCTACCACCCCAACGGCGAGGATCGTCTTCCCGGTCGCGGTCATAAGGACGGATATAATCACCACGGGTTCGATAACGATCAAGATAGGGTCTGTTATCGTGCTGACGATCACGGTCCCGAGGTGTATACGGATGGTGACTTAATGAGGATGAGGATGGTCGCCACTCAGCAGCGTCATCTCGCCAACGATCGCTACTGCGTGGAGTGCCGCTATCGTACCACCCGTTTGTATGATGAGAAGAGTGTGGAGAACGATTAGAGTAGGATGACACAGAAGCGGAATCAGAAGGGGAACCTGGACCAAGAGCGCGAGAACGAGGCCCGAATTCATATTTAGAACGAGCGGGCGAAGGGGGTTCGGGGCAGCTATTAAGAGAAGGGCGATGAGTACTAGTAATTGAGGGAACAGATGAAGCAGCTGGCGAGTCCATCTTCCAATACGGAGATTGCGAACCGTCCTCTGGGAGTGGAACATCTTTCTTTTGCGGTGAGGTGATTTCTCCATCTTCCGCGCCTTCCACGTCAGATATCACAGATGTCTGGAATGACGGTGCTACAGTAGGAGGCAAGGATGAAGACGAGGTCGTAGACTGCGTAGACTGTTGCGACTCCTCCCATGCTGGGCTGGACTGCAAAGTGAAGGTAGCATTCACAGCATGCGAACCCAATCGCCAAACAGGGGAACTTGGCTTTTCGTCCCGTCCGCATATGACTTCATCGACCTTCGCCAGTGAGCCACTAATTCTACCCCACCCACCAGGACACTGAGCGACCGGAGCCGCGTTACAGCTTGGCTCAACGATAACAGACGGAGCGGTTGTCGTAGCGGTAGTGGTTGGGATGTTCCACTTTAGCGGCCGGGTGGATACTATAGAATCTGAGTCAATATCCATGCCATCGTCATCAGACTGACCCTCTTCCGTCATGTCTTCGATCTTAACCACAACAGGGGATAACTCCGGATGGGAAGCGGCACAGGAGACAGGCACCTTAGTGACAGGTACACTTGCCACAGAGTCACTAGACCCGGTTGAAGGCAATTTGATGTCTACCGATATGGTGGGACTCACAATGGGAACAGTACCATCACGATCCCCCGCTAGCGAGACACCCTCTGAGCTGAGAGGACGAACGGCAATGATGAGCGGTGAGACAGCACGCCCTTCATCGCACCTACCAACATCGATGGGTACAGGCCCACTGGCAAGCCCACCTTTGATAGCCGGAGCGGATGCACCCTCTGTCTTCTCCCTAGAAATGGTGGCCGTGGAGATCGTAACAGGAGCGGAAGCAGCCTTAACTTCAGGAGCACGCAGAGGCGCCAGCGCAACAGCAGGGGTTGTCACATTTTCCTTGTGTCCCTGCTCAGCAACGGCAATGCTAACCGTCTCCACAGCCCTACCTTCCTGCATCTCCTTGTCCTTATCCTCTTGCTGCTTCGTGGCGACCGCGGTTGCAAGTGCACGCTTCTTTTTCCAGTCTGCGAAACTCATTCGAGCAGCAGGTGCGGGGACAGGTGCAAAAGCTGGAGCAGAGGCAGATGCGGGAACAAATGAAGGCTGGGGTGCGGGGACAGGTGGGGGAACAGGAACAGGCTCTGGTGCCTCGGTTGGCATTGGCGGTGGAGCGGGAAATTCTTCGGGCAGAGGAGCAGGCATTGGGGCGGGAGGGGCTGGCTCTGAGTCTACTTTCAGATTGGATGCTGGAGCGGGCACAGATGGGGGGACAGATGTAGTCTCAGCCACAGGATCGGGCAAGGGTACTTGGAAAGTCGGGGCAGCGTCGGACGAAGATGAGCGAGAGACCACAGGACCAAGCGGCGTAGGTTCAGTGGCATCAGAGGAAGAATGACGGATTGATGGCGGGGATGGGGCTCGAGAAAATGTCAGGGTAGGGGCAGGTGAAGGTAGTGGCGAAGATGGAGGCTGGGACCAAGGTATTAATGATGGGGCTTCATCTGGCGTAGCTTCTCGAGAAGTAGCTGTCTTCGGTTTTACTTCAGGCGCGGAAGCTTCCTCGACAACAGGCGTCGTCACCGTTACAGACGAGGCAGATGTCAAAGAACTATGAGCCAGCTGCTTCTCAACAGTGATTGAAGCCGCAGGCTTCTCATCCCTGTAGCTACTCTCCCTCTTCTCCATCTCAGTCGATAACGAGTCATCCACCGTAGCCAGTTCGGGTTCAAGTCCAGAATCGTCCGTTTCGACCTCGACTTCCATTGCGTCATCCTCAACAACCGTCCCCAAACTTGGTTCGACACTGACTCTGGGTGACGTTGAGGGCTCTCTCGATCGCTCTGATGACATAGATGATGCCTCATACGACATCTCACGCTCCGGCGTCCTCGGTGTAGTCGCATGAGACGAAACGGGCGACAAGTGGCGTTCTTCCGTCTTCGCCATTAGCGCAAAAGTGAGCGAGAGCGAAGAAACGGTCGTCGGATCCATCGAAGCGGGAAGTGGTGGTGGTGGCATCAAAGTTGCGTCTAAAACAGCAAACCAACAACCAATCAGTAAACATCGCGGCGATGAGGTGGAAGTTATCAAGCAAAAAAAGACGCGCACCGTCAAGCTCACGAGGACTCAAAGAGGACTCAGCAGTAGAGCAACTCGAATGTGAATCCACAAGCGACAATCCCGCATTCCCATTCTTCGCCCTCTTCCTCATCTTCGGTGGCAGCTTCACCACTTCCTCCACCTCCTCCAACTCACCGTCCACTTCACCGACCCTCGCACCATTCCTGTCTCCATCTATCATCGCGACATCCTCAGCCCAAGCTTCGACACTCTCTACTGTTGGACTCAGCCGACTGCTACTGCTATTACTCCTCCCCCGCTCTTTACCCGTTTCCGCAACTCCAGAGCTTGACGCATTACGCTTCAGCTTCCCACCCAACGCAAACGTACTCCACTCTCTCGGACTTGCAAGTGAAGACTTGCCAGGAACAGAAAGAGCAACGGCTGGTAACTTCATCGTTCCAACCTCCGGACTCCTGCTCTTCGAAGATGGAATCTCCATCGTGGTGGACCCGCTCGGTGAACTAGGAGTCGGCAACGAATGTCTAGTGTTCGTGTTAAGGTGAGGTAGGTTGGACCTGTCTTGCATCGTCTTCCCCACTGATCCGGCGCCCGCCAAAGTCCGACTACCATTGGCGGATACATGGTTATCAGGACTAGGGGCCGGACTCGGCGGCAGGATCGTCGGGTTGGATAACTTGGGCTGAGGTCCCGGAGAATCATACAAGCCTACAATGCTCGCCCAGCTCTTTGAGTGCAGTCTCGCAGGGGGTGTAGTAGGACTTGGCGGCCGGATCGCTAAAGGGGCAGGTCCTGGAGTGGGTGTGGGTGTGTGAGGAGTGGAACAAGGAGATATCTCACTCCGGACTGGGGGAGGCGAAACGGAGACGCTTTTAGGCGTCATCAAAGATTCACGCGGAGCAAGTGAAGAGAAACCTTTCGCACCAAGCATTGGGCCAAGATAAGGCTTTTCCTTCTTCACACTCGTCCCATCGAGTGACTCAGGCGACGACGGTGCATGCATCCTGAGTGGGAAAGGTGTGGTTGCCGTGAACTGGGACCGATCACAGATAAATTGAGACATCAATGTGAAGACGCATTTGTTAGAACCTGAGAGCTTCTGACCACTCCCGCAGGCACACGAGGTGAACGTCCCACCGAGCGTGCACAATATCTGGCACATCTCAGCTTTCAGGTTCGTTCTGATACAATTCAAAAAAGTTAAATTTCAGCATCTCCACAATTCAGAGATAAGGGGGTAAAGACTCACTCATCTTGTACGTCCGCGCACCCGTTCTCAAGGACATCATTTAGTAGTTGTACAGGACTGTTCGCATCCCATTCCCACCCCAATACGATTTCCTCGCCCTTGGCACTGATACTCCTCATGCTGTACACACCCCACTCCACACCGGCTGGGCTGCTCTCAGAGATCACAGGCCTTATCACTGCATTGGGATGACACCCGTTCCGTATGAACCTGCTCTCATTGCCCATTTCTCTTGCATCAAGCGCTAGCGATAGCGGAGGCGGGATGAGGCGAACGTGTGGCTTCGGCAGTTGTAGTAGCGCATATTGTGACAAAGGCGCACAGGTATATGCTGATACGGGGATGATGCGGGAAACGAACGTCGCAAGGAGCGTGCCTGCTGGGATGGTTCCGGAGGTCGAATTGGAGGTGTAAACGCCGTATGTAGGCGGACGACCATACGAGAGAGATTTGGGGTCTGAGTTGTGTAAGGTATTGTCGTGATAAGAAGGTGTAGCATTAGGGGGAGGCAGTGAGGCGATAGTGGGAGTCGGAATTGGTTGACACTCAGATGGAGGGACTTGCTTCACAAGGAGGCGAACAGGGGGCACCTTGATTGATGGTAGTGGGGGTAACGGGGAGCATTCAGTAACAGGTGAGATCGGCATGGGAGGTTGACTGCGTGATGAGGATGTTGGAGAGTCTCGGGTGTTACCTTCGATAGACGAGCGCCAGTGACGAATGGCTTGTCTTACACCCTCGTCCGCGATAACGTCTTGGTTGATGCGAACGAATTCATTTGCCCAAGGTTCAAACATTGTGTCCTCGTCCAGTGGGGAAATATCGACGGATGAAGAACGGTTGCGGTTGGAAGTTGGTTTCCGGGAAGAAGTGCCAGATTTTGACCTTCGAACTGACTCCGTTGTAATCTGTTGAGTGCCAGTAACGGTACTACGTCGCCGTTTGTCAATGTTTTCGGGTCGACTTTTCTTGCGCCCATTAGGTATCTGTTCGACTATTCCAGCTGCACGGAATAGGCGTTCACGGTCAGCCTGTAATCTTCGGGTTTGCCGGGCACGAGCAGCAGATGCATCCACAGGTCGAGGCACGCAACGTTCACAGAACCACTGCTCTGGTAGAGCGGCACTTGTAATGGATGATGTTGACGTTGGAGGTTTCGTTGATTTTCCCTTGGAAGAGGAGCGAGAAGAGGTTGTAGAGGAAGAGGTTTGGTCGTCATCAGAAGCCGTTGCGCTGTCGTCCTTCAAAAGAGGAGGTGGGTTGCTTAGAACGCAGCTCATGTGTTGCCAATACCCGCACATGTCGCAAAAAATGGTGAGGCCGTCATCGTCGGTATAACCGCATATGCAGCGTATGAGACCGCTGTCAGGAGTGGGTTGGGCAGAAGAAGTGGAGGGGGTTGAAGTTGTTGCAAAATTGGAAGAAGAGGGAATGTCGTAGGATCGTTTTCGTTTGTTTGATGTGTGATGCGCGAGCGGGTTGATGTCTTGGTTGGTGACAGCTGGAGAATGAAGCGAGAGTCTCGCAAACGTCGCTGTAGGGGAATTCATCGCGGACGCATCTAGGGACGGCGAGTGTACGGCGAGAAAGACGAAAAAAGGAAGGGGAGAGGGGACTTTTGAAGTTTGGGACACTTGGGCTGATTGGTCAAATTGAGTTGCTTACGTAAAGGCATGGTTGAAGTGCCATCTCGAGTCTCTTTCTCTCTTTTTGACTTTTCTCACACAGAACTTGCCCTTACGACGATGGCGAGGTTTCCATACGATTGTCCCGTACTGTAATGGAGTGTGAGTATCTCAAGAAACTTTTGACGGTTGAACCGGGTTTCGCCCGCTGCCGATGGTATCCTGTGAGAGACACGGAACACGAGTCAGGAGAAGTGAAAAGGATGGCGTGACATTGATATATTATATTGTTATTATTCCATCACAACGAGTGCTAGCAATCGTTGTTGCTTTGCGGGCGTATGTAACTTTTGGTCATCAAAGGCACTTACTCTTCATGCCATCGCTCACTCTTTGTCGCTAGATCATTGGCCTTTGAAAGTTCGGTGACACCCCCGTATTACACACACAGCGGGCTGAAACTGTTACAAGCAACCTGAACAACTTCACTTCCTATTGCTTAAGATCCGTTTCGCTTTCTCAACTCTTGTCGCGCGAACGCGCCTGTGACCGCCTGCAGTGCGGCTGATGCGATGCCGCCGCCGGCTTACGTCAAATATTTAACGCGGAGTTTGCCTAGTTTTTTTTCTTTCTCATGCCTATTTCATGAACTCGACCTTTCCACGATGCCGCCTGTCGTTCCTCCAGTGAGCGGGACCTCAGCAGTACCTTCCTGCAGGTGAATATCGGAATGTATCCCAGTCTGTTTGGTCGCTTACCGCTGAGTTGGACTGGTTGCCACATGTGGCATCATTGGTACGTACAGCGCTTCCCAGGATACTCCCAAACCTGGTGACTCGCACGTGTGAATATCACTTGAAGTGCCACGTATTCTCCGACCCCTGCCGCGCACCTTGGAGCTTAATCCCCCTAGATGGTATTCGCTTGCATCCCCGCACATAGCTATCGCGGTGGACAGCTTGTGACGAAGATGCCGTGAAGTTCTTATCTCCACAACGCTCCCTTTATCCAATGCAAACGTACAAGATCACGCTCAACCAGGCTGCTAGCGCAAGAACCCTTGGGTACTGGCACCCAGTTGCCGATGCAGGCGCCACAGCACCCTTGGTTGCCCGTCGTTTAACTGTCCCTCCGACTGAGACAAGTGCTCAATACGGTTCGCACGGCGACTTCTTACACCGCCTTGTTATCCGGAACATCCATCCGATAGAGCTCTGTATATCCAGACAACTTCAAGTCAATGGTAATCAGTCCAACTGACCTAACTCGATCGGAGAGTCAGCAGCAAACGGTGGTTCGTATGGGATTTGTAGACTTGAAAAGGATTCTTCCTTCCTCTCCGTGCATTCCTACTTCGGACGCATCTGAAAGCTGTGCCTCCGCAGCTCCAAGGCGTCTACCCTTTGGCTGACGCTCGCCTACGGCCCAGGACAGGACTTTCTAATCGCAGATTTCAGTTCTTTCTTTGTACTACTCTTATGAAATCCGATGATAAATAAATTCACGATTCACGGTAAGCATTTCTTCTACTATACAGGTTGGAAGATAAGCCCAATTGAGATGACCGAGCGCGCTCACGCACAGTAATCTGTGCAGGCAATTGATCGAACTGTGCTGTGCCAGGTACTTGTAGTGCAAGCCGCAATCAATCCTTGTGAATAACCCGGCCTCGCTTGACGACACCATCGTGCTCAAAATACGGACTGTGCGTTCGGACTTGCGTTAAGCCCCTTTGCAAGAATGGCCAACCCCCATAGAAACACCTAGTCCCACCATCATTTGTGGCGCTGCGTTCAATATTCTCAAACCCCATGAACCAAACGATTGAAACCTGGCACTTTTCTTCTTTTCTGGCGTGGTGGCGGCGCTAGTGATGGGCACTAGTGTATATTACGACCTCTGACTGCCGTACAATGTACTTACTCATGACTGGCGTTGCGAGAAGGGAGATCCATTCGGGGAATTGGATTTGTGCCCAGACACTTCCATCTACTTACGCATTTTCGGATGCGATCAAAGCGCACAAGAATAACTTATGGCGCCCGTCCACCTGAAGTTCGCGGAGTTCACCGGCGGGATGGGCGCTTGAACTCCGATAAGCATTATAGGGGCTGGCCAATTATGAACTTCACGTGAACGCGTGAACCAAATTAAGTTCATGAACTAGAGTGCGTGTCTTCGCACGTGCTGACCTGCACTGCTTTTCAACAACCCTAGTCAGTTGTACAGAAAAAAGTGAATCATGATTACAGCAAGGTGCAAAAAAATCGACGTGCCCAATTTGGATGAATGTCCGTGCAGGTCATGTGATAGTCATGTGACTAACCACAAATGGCAGAAAATAAATGATGATCGACTTGCAGTTTCCTAAATAGGATCGATCACATGACCTGATCGAGCATTCATCCAAATCTGTTGCGCTGTTTGTTTTGCACCTTGCTGTAAATCATTATTCCACACGAAAAGAGTGCATAGATGTCCTATGCTCAGGGATCCTGAATCATGGCATCGGGCTATGTCAAGTGTGTGGAGACAATAGCGGATGTGTTCCGGTGGATATGGATAATAGGAAACAAATAGGAAAATGGGGAGCAGAAAGAGGACATCAGGACAGTGATTTGGGGGGGTGGGGGGACAAGTGTACAGATGGGGAAAGATAAGACAAGCACACTAAAAATTGGTCAATAGTATTGACTAAATCTCCTTCCCTTGCTCAAAGCGCCCATGCGGCAGGACAAGTGGGGAGATTGCAGCTGGGTTACAGTGTTGCAGACAGCTGGCCAGCAGAGGGCAAGCAGGGGTGCAGCAGCAGTGGGGGGTCGGACCAAGAGCTGTGCAATTGGGCAAGTGTCTGCTACATCCCTTCAAGAATGGGCTGCATTGCAGGCTGACATGCCAATTCATGAGTACGGCACAGTACTTTAGGGCATGCAGCAGATGCAGGCTGTGGCTGTGTCATAGGATGCAGCCCAGCAGGATGAGGGGTGCAAATACAAGTAAGGGGAGTTGGGTTCAATTTTGGCCAGGTAAGTGCTGTGTCATGACCTGGCATTCCCTGAAGTCAGATGACCTCCTCCCAGACCTTTTCCCATGCCCAAACACTCCCCACACTGTCTACCTTCCGTCCCTCTTCTGCCAAACCTCCGGCAAGTTACGACCTTCCACCACAGCCTGTCAGAGTACAGCCCAGTTAAGTCTGGACTGCTTACACACAACTGATGACACACTTGCCCCATACCTGCACAGCCTGATCATCATCCCCGGACTGGCACAGACATTTGTTATATTTCCTTCTGTAGAGCAGCCCCGCTTTGCTGGGCATACTGACTTTATCATTCCCTGGGTAGCGAGTGAGGAAGATAACTTTCTTCTCTCACTTCCCCTTGCTGCTCAGCTGGAATCCCTATTGCAATCCACTTTGCTGGGTTCCCCCATTGAGACTGATCCTGTCCCCCTTGACCTCAGCTCCAGCGAAGGCTTGGGATCCCTCAACTTAGAGTCTGGGCAGCTTGGTACCCTGACACTGCCCCGTACCTTGTACTTGGACACCGCTCATACCTTCACTCCGAGATTCTGTCATAGTTCTGACCTCGGACTTTGACTCCACCTCAGCTTTAGTCCATTGCATTGGTGACCTCATACTATCTAAACACCATTGCCAACATTCCTTGGACTTTCAACCCTGCCTCTGTAAGCTCTGTAAGCTCTGCAACCTCCAAGCTCCACAGATCATATCTGGCACTTTCGCCGCTTGTAATGTATCTTTCGCACTTTCCCCTCATCCTTATTTGGACTACTGCTTCTCTCCATTTTAGCCAGTTAGTCATCATCCCCACTTCACCTCATCCTCCTGCCCCTCTGGGCTTTGCCCTCCCTATCTCCTTTCGGATGTACCACAGGTTCTGACCTATGACCTTCGGTGCTGCTCCGATTCCATCATCCCTTTGTCCCCATTTGGATGCCTTTGTTCCAATTTGGACCCCCATTGTTTCCTTGTGCTTTCACCTCTCTCCATTATATACAGGCGCTTGTATGTACATACTTGTTTTAGGCCCTTAGTCTAAAATCAACCTGAAATGCCCCCTAGAGACTTCCTGCTCACTGCCTCTGAAATTAAGGACCAAATGGACAAACAGCAATGGCACAGCACTCTGCATGAGTCACTGAGGCCAAGGTCCCTCCTTGCTAAGTCTCCGGTTCCCCTCCAGAATCATCTGCCCTTGCCCAGTTCTAACAGTACTGACCAGTCAACCTCTGTTTCACAGACTTGTGTCAGTGCTGCACCAACCCCACTTTCTGATTTGCAGACTTGTATTGGCACCGCTCGCTGAACTCCACTTTTCCTCTGGCCTTTGGCCACTTGGCAGCTTATCATTCATTCCTTGCCAAGTGCCTATTATGCTTATTCATCCATTTGCTTAACTTGCCAATATTGGTGTTGATCTGCTTTTATTGACATTAGGTTATTGACCCCATTGTTCTTCCCTCATCTGTCACAGCCGTGCATTCCGGCCCGTTCCCCGCCCGTCCCAATGCTGCCCGAGCCTGTTACCGCTATGCGAGCGTGAGTGCAAGCCCCGACCTCAGCCCTGTCCTCCCTGAGGACTCCCTGCTCACTTCCCCACTTGCCCCTAGGCTCCCCTACACTTGGCCGACTCCCCCACTGCTGCACCAACCTCCCCACCCTGAGTCCGCCTCCAGCACCGTGCCCAGTGCAACTCCCCTACCCTGCCCACTTGGCCCCTACAGGGCCGCTATCATCCCTGCGCCCGACTCCGGTCCAACTCTGAGTCCAGCGCCGCTACGATACCATCGCCGCTATCACGGCCCTACGCTCTTTCCTTTATTTATCTGTTATTGTTTGTTTTGACCCTCGGTCATTGCCAGCCACTATGCGGCCAACCCCGCTCCTTCTTCTTGTTTGCTTCCAGACCCTTCAGCCTTCTGGCCCGGGTCCGCTTCCATTCATTTCTTCCTCCTATATATATCCTGTATGATACTTTATTGTACCTTAGCTCTAATATCGATGTGACCACGACCCCTAAGTCCTGACCCCAACAAGGCAACCCCAGTAAGTCTGAAATGAGGGCCAAGAGACAACTAGGGGGCACAGCACTCCCTTTAGAGTTGCTGAGGCCAAATGCCCTACCCTCGGGCCTTGTTCGAGGCATCGCAGCCATTGCAGCCTGTAGCGGCCCACAACAGCGACCTTCAGTGCCGACTCTGGATCAGTGTCTAACATCATCACTCATTATTGCTTATTCATTTCTCACTTCTATCTTCCAGGCTCTTGTCCTTCATCCAGTTTGACAATCCCCACTTATTTCCACGCCAGACCATGCTGGACTGACTGGCCCTTCTACATTTCCTTTTGCCCATTTATATCTTGTAAATACTTTCAGGGACCTTAGTCTGAAATCCACTAGAGTACCCCCCCTGTCTGGTCTGAGTCCCTCCTTCTGCAAAGGGGCTTCCCCCCTTCTGAGTCCATGCTCACAGAGTCCATGCTCCTCCTACAGGCCTGCTCTACCCACAAGTCTTGTTTGAAGTTCTGTTAGAACTGGGTGAGGGTGGACAATTCCGGAGGGGAACCAGAGACTTAGCAAGGAGGGACCTTGGCCTCAGTGACTCATGCGGAGCGCTGTGCCATTGCTGTTTGTCCATTTGGTCCTTAATTTCAGAAGCGGTGAGCAGGAAGTCTCTAGGGGGCATTTCTGGTCGATTTTAGACTGAGGGCCTAAAACGAGTATGTACAAGTGCCTGTATATAGTGGAGAGATGAAAGCACAAGGAAATCAAAGGGGGTCTGAATCGGAACAAAGGCATCTGAACGGAGACAAAGGGGTGACAGAAACGGAGCAGTACCAAAGGTCATTGGTTGGACTCTGGGGTACATCCAAAAGGAGATAGGGGGGGCAAAGCCCAGAGGGGCAGGAGGATGAGGTGAAGTGGGGATGATGACTAAATGGAAGGAAGCAGTAGTCCAAATAAGGATGAGGGGAAATTGCAAAAGATACATTACAAGTGGCGAAAGTGCTGAGTTTGGTCCATGAAGCTTGGAGGTTGCAGAGCTTGCAGAGGTTACAGTATGGAGGTGGGGTTGAAAGTCCAAGGAATATTGACAATGGTGTTTACATAGAATGAGGTCACCAATGCAATGGACTCAAGCCAAGGTGGGGTCAAAGTCCAAGGTCGGAACTATGATGGAATCTCGGAGTGAAGATACGAGCAGTGTCCAAGTACAGGGTATGGGGCTGCAGCAGAAGGTCATAACTTGGCAGAGGTTTGGTGGAAGAGGGATGGAAGGAGAGGAGTGAGGAGAGGAATGAGAAGGGGGGGGGGGGTAAGAGGAGGAATGATGTCAGGTCTGAAGGTGAATATCGGAGTGGATGGAGGTAGGGTAGGAGAGGGATGGAAGGTGAGTAAGAGGAGGTGACATGAGGATTGAGGAGGAGTGTGGTGTGAGGAGTGATGTTCGGTCCGAAGGTGATCAGGTATGTATGGATATGACAAGTTCGCTGTAAGTGTCAGTCTGTAAATAAGGGATCTCCCCCAGATGTCAAGCTCAGGGCACAGCACTCCACTTGAGTCACTGAGGCTGTGATCCCACTCTGCTAACCTTGAACAATGCTTCCAGATGCGCTGCATATTTCTGCCCACATTTCTGTGTGTGCATGCTGTAGGAGAAATAACGGTCACACTATGGAAACCCATTATAGAAATATGCCAGATAAATCACAAAACCCCATATGACAAGTAGATATGAGAAAATAGAAGAACCTGAATTTTAACAAATTTTTACGAATTATTACGACTACATATGATAAATTGGAAGAAAGAAAATTAGCAAAAATACTTCAAGCTTAGCATCAACAAGACGGAATTCTCGGGGGAATTTATAGCAAATATTAAACAAAGAATTATAGGACAATCGACCAAGATTTGACTATAAAAACAACCAGAGAACCTCCACAGAAACTACTTTCCCACATCCACACATGTAGCTGAGGATGGAAGTACCATGGAACAAGGATTCCTTAGGAACTAATGCAAAATTCAAAGTTGTGTTTATAATAGGAAATCTATATGGCCCCCAAATGGACCCAATGAAAGTAATTACAGGGAAAACTACCCATAAACAATGGAGATATGACCAAAACTCTTGGAAAATGAGGACAATGTTTAAAAGGCAAGCGTGAAGAACAAGCAGTAACGACCGAGACGAGCTTGATAGCCCATTAGAAAGGAAGGGATCTAATCTTAATCCACCCAAATTTTCATAATAAAAGGATCACACATCAATGAGATATCCAATAACGGGAAGAGCGACATCAAAAGTCTGGGCTCAGGGAGAAGACAATGTTTACGTAGGATCCATAATTAGAACACACTACGAAATTTACACGGAAATTATGATAAATAGGAAACTATAGTTATGCAAATTTTCAGCCCAAACGATCCAGCCGTTGTGAAGTTATACCAACAATGGGAATATAGAAATCTGCATCATGTTTAAAGACATGTGAGGGTGGTGATGCAAAGGGAACCAGCTGTCAGAACCGAGATCTGCACTTCAGCAGATTGCAAAGACCAATTTCTGTCTAAATAAGGAAGACCCTGGTCAAAACAAAGCACAGAAAGTACAAAACAACCTTAGATCATGAGAGAAAAATCTGAAATAAATCATGGAAGCCCATATGAAGGATACAAACACCCGAGCATATCATAAATCCTGAACAATTAAACAGAAACAGCGCCTGCATATGAACGACTATGGGGATGATGCATGTGATTACTGAATGTGCATGCAAACTTTTGCTAACTCGACAAATACCCAGAAATAGAACACAACTTTAGTACCATTGGAAAGGTGGGAATAAATGAAAATTTATGATACCAAGAACATGAAAACCCATCCAGAAATGAATGAGATACAAGGACATGAAGTTAGGAACCTGAAAACACATGGGAAGACAGCTTCTAGAGGTCCTGAGCCTCAAATAAAATACATAAAAATATGATATCTTTGAGGACGACCTACTATAACAACGAACAATACATATGGAGGACTAGGATGCAATGATACAAAGGGGAATCAGGGAAGATGGATGAAATCCACGAAAACCACTAAACTACGATGGACCATGGCGGGAATTTTAGGGAACGATATACCAATGAAGTGGAGAGCTATAATACATTTGTTTGAACAATTCTTGACTACTAGCAACTTTTTCTTTCAGTTCTAAACCTGAATAATTCACTCATTTATCATTTCAAGTCTCATTTCAACTAAATGTTACTGGATAAAAATAGAATAAATCAGCTGAAGGTCTCAGCACAGCCATATGCAAAGTAATGCAAAGTTTGAATTCAGAATGACCAAGTCATAGCGAACTTAACAGTAAATATGAGGAATTTGAAATAGAAAACTGCGACAAATGCAGCACAGTCAAGTTCCAATTAACCATTAAAATAGCTTAGGCAAGGAAGGACAGTAAGGATTCTAGGTGCAGTCTGACCACAGTAGAGCCACAGTTCAGTGCAGCAGAGTGCAGTAGAACTATAGCGAAAATTTCATTTTTTATTCAGTTTGAGGAAAATACACTGTAAATAAATCCTGTAAATACAAGGTAGAGCATGAAAAAGGAAGGCGACCCAAGGAGTATAAAAGGGAGACCCTTTCTGCGACTTTTCGCCCCCTCAGAGAAGTAAGAAACTAGAGTATTATTTTTCTCAAGCATTTCTGGTTGTCACTCCAGCACAAAAAAGTGATATACAGTTAAGATTGCCACTGTAGTAAAAGGCAGCAATTAGGAAGAGAAATATTAAGTAAATATTTCAACAGGAGAGCTGGTTAACACTCCAGAATTCAAAGTGTAAACACAAAACAGTTATTTTGCTACTGTTTGTTACAAAAATGGGGCCAGAGGCGCCCATTTTTGTCCGTTCTTGGCGCAGGAAAGTGGAAAGTGGAGGTGAGGTGGTTCATTAGGGTTTACAGATGGTTTCACAGATGTTGTAACATGAGGTTTAACAGATGTTAGCACAGCAGGTTTTCTGGTAATTGTTGATTGGTTAAACTCTATTTATTTACATATCATGTGATTTGGGTGTGTGCAGGGCCCATAAGAGTCTAAATCGGGAAATTTCCCATTTCCATAACACTGTTAAACAAGCAATAAAATAAGACAAAATAAAACAAACTCAGGGGACACTTCAGACAGAATCTAAATCCATTAACTGAGTAGAATCTTTGAAAATTCACCAACTGGAAGATTTAATTCAAGTTAAAATCCAAATTAAACAACTCTACACAGATTTACACCCAGACAAATTGAGAAATTACAATAGAGGAACAGCTCCACAGGGCTCAGTTTATCTGTAAGTCAATTCTCAGAAACTTTTAGACTAACCCATAAAATAGAATTAGCCAAAACACTTGGATTGGTACTATAATTGCAACAAATATTACTAGTACACTTCCCCATCCTAACTAAAGAACCAGGGAACAGCTTGGTGGTGGTCTCGTTTGAACCTCCCAACTGACCTTCCTTCGTTCTCTCCTTCAACACTCCAACAGACCTCTGCCAACACCTCTGACCTTGACTCAGACAGTAACCTGCCTGTCTTCTGACATTTTGTTCCCATGTGACTTTGGCATGAATAGATAGATAAAAGATAGGTATATAA